TCCGATAGTAATATTAAACTGATGAAGTGCAGAATGGATATCATTCCTATACTAGTCAACTTGCTAGGTAGCCCAACCTCGAATTCCAAGACTACAACTTTATGTCTATTTAATCACTGAAAATTTTCCAGAGGAACAGCTTTCTGACCTAATTTTTTCTATGAAACTCTCACTCAGGTGGCTACATTGAACCATTATATAACCAATGTGTAGTAACGTAGACAGATGACTGTCGTGGACTGTACGTAACCCGAAAGTAATATGGCGAGTCACGCGTGAACAGAGCTACCTACTAATTTCCAACAGCACATAATTCATCATATGTGTTAGGTCAAGAACTGATTCGCTAGTGATATCACACGTAACTCTAGCACATGCAAATGTACCCAAATTACCCCGGATTTTACCATTCCCGATGGAAAATAGGGGAAAAGATGATGATCAAGTGAAGGCTCACTAAAGACAACTCATATCACAAGAAATACTGTCTGATACCTATTTGATTCCTGAACAAGAATCGAGAGGGCAAGGAAGAGCAATAATCACTTCTTACTCGTTGGCCAATTTATATCTCAATATCTACTCCATGAGTTTTCATTCATAGCCCAAATCAATTATCAAAAGTAGTAGTTCTAGTACAAAGAAGCCAGTTCAAATTCACCTGTCTAGCCCTAAATGCCATTCATAGTACGACTTAAGCGTGAAGGTCCACACTCTTTTTAGGCTAGCGAGTTTCCGAGTTCAGCCAAGCGCCTTTTTTTAAATCCAAGAGACTAGCACATGACGCGATATTGGGAATATAGAAACATTAGATGAAGAAGTGAATTTGCTCAGCCCTAGCAGTAATACATGCCAAGCGTGCAATTTCGTAGCTTTTATACTAATTGTATAGTATATAAAGTCCTTTCTCTTACCAATCCCGCTTTCTCAATTCTAAACCCAACAATCTATTGATCTCCATAGAGCCTCATTACCATCGAATATCATAACTCGAATTTCCGAACTCGAATTTCCGAACCAGAATACATCAGAAACAATATACAAAAAAAAGGTAAGCCACTTTCTAACATTCTTCCCTATTAAATGATGCCGAGATCACTTGAATTATTTGGGTGTTTCAAAGCATTAGAAGTTCAGCATTAGAAGTTTTCAACGTTCAAGGATACTGAGATGTTTTGGACAGTTTCAAGTCTTAGTTTTTACAATTTCTTAAAGTTCTTCCGTATTGGACTGCAAACCAGATAGCGAATAAAAGGGATTTTGCTAAATACCAACACAGACAAGACTATCTTCACCATGGCTCCATCAGCGATCGATACCCGAGAGGAACAAAAGAGATCTGCTACCAGCGCACGAGTTCGTGCCAACGGTATTACAAAGAACGCAACAACCAAGCCAAAGATGAATGAAACTGCAGAAGATTTAGTCAAGCCAATGGAAGGATTGGCAGTAGAGAAGACCGTCGACCCTCCAACAACAGAAACCACGAATACCAAGGTCGAATTAAAGGACACAGACATGAATGAAGTTTACAATGATGTATTCTCCAACCTTCGCGGTCATTTTCAGACACCAGATACCGTCAAGTCTGACGTCACCAAGTCTGATATCACAACAACTGTTGTTGAGAATAAACTCCCCAAAAATAAAATCATTGATGAGGATGAAGAGGAAGCATACAACATGATCAAAGCCCATTTTCGTTCCATGAGCTCGGGAGGAAAGAGGGGGGGCGCCAATAAATGGAGTTTTTTAATCTGATGGTATGCTAACGTTTATTTCTCGCTTTCCAAGCCTTTGTGGAGATTTCTGATAATCACTTTCTGTCAATGATCTATGGCTGGAAAGATCTTTCAAGTATCATGATGGATGCCATATCAGTTGAAGATAAGCATATCTGTAATATCCTACAAAGACATGTGTCTGGAAAACTAGCGACGCGAGGATATTATCATGTATCAGAAAAATATAAACAGCATTTTTCAACACATACACTCTGCCTAATCTGACCAGCTTTTGATGAACTAATAAAACCCTGATAGTTCTTCCAGCGAGCTCATTGATAAATCTAATATATTCATTTGCATTGTTAATGACAAAGTTCTTCACTTTCAGCATAAGCTGTACCTGGACTGTACTTTGCTATGAGACTAGATTCTGTTCCGACTTTGTTCGCCGCTTTGAGGAATCACTTTTGAACAACGGTGAAACTTTTCTGTGAGAACAATGTAGAAACGATATGCATGATAGAAATTTAAATGGCTGGCTAACATGTGTCTCTTGAATATTTCCCCATCCCCAAACAACTTTCAGAAGCAATTACCCACACAGCATTTAGATTTAGCAAGGTAAAAGCTTCAAATACGCACTTCGCAGCCCAATTGATCACCACAAATATGTCAACAGGAGTAGCAGAACCCCCTCTTTGGTGCCATAGCGAGTCGGCTTATCTTAACAGCATCACGATGCATACAGCCGATGGAAAGGAGGTGACTATAAATCCTAGAGCAGCCATGTTTCAAATGACAATTGAGCAGGTAAAGCATCACCTTGGTGGTGTTGCTTTTGCGCAGGACCCATGGCCTATCAGAGAATATACCAGTCAATCCATCGAAGAACAATGGAGACACATCCAAGTAGCTCGTGTAGCAGCTGAAATAGCACGCAAAGAAGCTGAATTAGAACGCGAAGCAGGTATAACAGCACGCAGAGAAGCACGCAAGGCAGCCAAAATAGCACGCGAAGCAGCTAATCGTCTTGCTGCCGAGGAAGCCGCTCAGAAAATCCAAAACGAAAATCCATTTATCCTACCTTTCATGTTGTTCTCACTAGCACCGGACGACACCGACATAGAAATGCCTTTAGAATGGCAACAAGAAGTCGAAGAAATGATGGCTCCATTGAAACAAAAATGGGCTGAAGAAGACCGCGCTAAAGCCGCCCAATACCAATCTGCATTTACAGCTGCAGACCAAGTTCTAGGAGCTGGCTTCTGGTCTCAGTACGAGGAAGATGTTGACATGGAATGAGCGTCCTCGGTTATGGTGGTAGAGGACATGTACACACACATCAGCATGAACCAGTAAGTAAGTGTTGAAGAGAAATATAGCTCGAGACTGGCCCTCACTATTGGACTTGACACATTTCCCAAATCTAATTATATATAAAACCCAACAATATTTTGCCCATCTTTCTTTATGATACAGTTAGTGACTGTGAGTGAACAATGCCTTGTAATAACAAAGGGTTCGTCCGAGATAATTTTTATTCCCTTGAAAGATAAACGAGCAGAGATTACTTTATTAGATGATGTTGTTCTTAACCCTTTCTCATTCTTCATCGCTCTTCTGATAATAACAGAACAAAGAAAAGTATTCTTAGAGCAGGTTAACTTTAACAACATAATCTTACTAAGTTAGCGCCAGGCACAGAACCGATTTGGCTACCGATATTCAACTTTTGAATTAAAAGTCACATCACACATGCCGTCCTGACTACTATCGTTCCAACTACCATCCTAACTACCATCTGCAACTCACTATAACAACAACATACTGATTCAGATAACCACCAAGAAAATACCACGTACTCCCTCCCCCCTTTCCAATCCAACGATCTCCAAACCCAACATCAAAAAGTCTCCACAGACCCACCAAGACTATCTTTTCACGCCACAATTCATCAGGTATATCAGCCTCACAACGGATCTTCAACACATATACAGTCTCTCACTTAAAAACCATAGAAAACATCTACAAGTAAATCATAGACATCACGAACCCGTGTCCACTATCGGGCATGCAAAGCGACAGGACACTGGACACTACAAAAATCGACTTATCGACATCTTTTGAAATACCAGTTCGAATCGTTTAAAAATTGCAATCATGAAGTATCATAGACTTAAAAATAGAATAACAGATTCCGATATCTAACGACCAGAGAATGAATATGCTAAGAAAATTGAAAATTGAGAAGTATCCCGTCAGTTCATGCAACAACCACTGGTAGTTCCACCTCTCGATGGCTGGAAGGGGTAGCTAGAAATCTCTTGTAGGAAATCCATAAAATTCATCATTCAACCTGCCCAGACTCTTCATATGCGCAAGATACCCATCTGCTTTGAAATTCAACCAACATGTCAGCTAAACTCAATACCCCTTTCTCAGATTCCTGAGACTCTATAATAATACACAAATCTACCAAATATCAATATTATACCATCCCACTACTTCTCATTACATCCCATGCTGTACCATACTGTACCATACCACCCTATAATCCCCTCCCAGATCCTATCTAAATCCAAACCCCAATGTAACTATCAACTATATCCACGCCCTCCCTTCATCCCCCGTACTTTCCCAAAACCCAACCTAAACTCAAACCCTAACTCACCACCTCCCCGCGTATCCGTTCTTTCCATCTATCATCAATTCATCAATATCCAGAAATATGAGAAAGAGCCATCCAGCCAGCAACATAGTCACTTGTTCCTATCCCTCACTCCTTCCCCTACACTACCCTCTAAGTACTAAGATAATATTGCAGCAAACATGACAATCTAAATTCATCATTATATAATTCGAAGTGCTGAAATTGGTTGGGAAATACATTTTACTCTCTCCAAGTATTGTTTTTTGCATCAAATTCCAGGTTATTATTAGAGTGGTTCTCCTTATTATAATATTTCCCACAGTTCTCTTCCTCGTTCATGGCAGGCAATCCAACGCCTTTGAAGCATCGCTGGAGCTAATCCCACGGAATCAGATATTCTGCATTCTCAATCATCCATAGATCCATCTATATATTCCCACAAACCCAAAAATGGCGCACATTCTAATCTACCACACCCACGGCTCGACCCGCGTCTTCTCTTCCACTACCTCAAACCCCTCAAACCCCTCTCCCGCTCCCACCCCCTCTACCTCCCCCCAAACACCAGCCCCCAAAACCTACGCCGCCTACGCCGCCCGCTACTCGCACGTCTACCCCTGCCGATGCAAATTGCACGTGGGGACGCTCTCGCCCACCTCCCAGCACCCGTAACCCCCATACGCGCCATACTCTCCTCCATCCTCCTTGCGCAGCGCGCCGCCCTCCAGCGTATCGAAGCCATCAAAGCCACCAACCGCGATCCAGATGCCTGGTATATGCCCGTTCACGAAGACGATGAATTCCGGGCCGAGCTCAACGAGGGAGTAGGTTTTTATCTGGATATCTATTCCTCCTCCGAAGAAGTAATCTCGCTTCTCCACAAATGGCCATTTGATGATGCGACCAAGGGAGTTATTCCTAGCAAGCGCTTGCCGTATGTAGATTTAATATTGGAATTTGATCGGCTGAATGAGAAATTGCATAAATTGGGACAGGCGAGTATGGGTTATCATGTGAAGTATCATTATATTCCGAAGATCGAGAATCGAGCGGTGGAAGTGGTTGTGATAGAGGAGTTGGATAGATATGGTGCTAAGCTGGAGAAAATTCTGAACGGGGTGGTGAATGATGTTGAAAAGGAGAAGGAGAGTGAAAGACAGGAATCCCCAGTATTGAAGACAACGCCGATATTGAAAACAATACCGATATCGAAACCAGGAGGAAAATCAACACGAATTCCGAAATCTGTGAAGACGGGGGCAAATTTGAGAGAGAAAAGGAAAGGGAAAGAGATAGCGAAAGATGATGATGAAATAGAGATAGATGAAGAAATGGAGGAACCCCCAATACCGAAAACAACGCCAATATCGACATCAGGGGTAAAATCAACACCAACCCCAAAATCTACAAAGATGGAGGCAAATTTGAGAGAGAAAAGAAAAAGGAAAGGGAAAGAGATGGCGAGAGAAGATGATGAAACAGAGATGGATGAAGAGATACAGGAACCCCCAATATCGAAAACAATGCCGATATCCAAACCAGGAGGAAAACCCATCCCAGCCCCAAAACCAAAATCAGGTGGAAAATCAACCCCAACCCCCAAAACAACAGCAGGTGGAAAATCCATACCAACCCCCCAATCAACGCCCGTACAAAAGCCCAAACTAAAGCTCAAGCTCATATCTCGGGATCCACGAGTTCGTCAAAACTCCACCCCAAAGGCTCCCGAAGGATGATTTGGAGATGAAAAGCCAGATATATGTTTTAGGCAGACCCTGCATATTTATTCGGAGTTGGGCACGTGGTACACCCGAAAGCCACAGCAGATACCATACCTAGGAAACTCTCAAAAAGAGTTACATCACTCCTTATCAGAAATTTCATATATACCTAGGTACCTAGTAGGTATCCAGAGTTGAGCAAGTATATGCATCCAACTCTCAGCGTATCGTGTACTCATTTCCCCTTTCACTTTCCGATAGTTATAGCTGGAAAGCTATCAGCAATCAAGATAATCAACCACTATATCTCTCCTCTCTAGACTGGCTATTCTGTTCGATTGTGAAGTTGTTCGATATCTTTTCCCGTAAAGTATTCATATAGGTACCTATACCATGCTTTCACACCCCACGACTCATAACCCTATACTCAGCGATGCGAAAACGGATAAAACATAGAAGTGCCAGGCGGAAACTATCCGATTGTTCACCACATCTATTCGGTAACATAGATGAACTATATATTGTATGTGATGCACCATACTTGAAAAACCTATCTCCATTCAGATTCCTACACACATTTCCCCAAGGTTCAAAAAACAAAAACTACATCTCACAAATGATTAGAACCCCATTTATATAAAAAAACTATAATATTATCAAATGAACAAAGGAATGTACCTACCAACACAATCTATGAACGCGACTTACCTATTTTCTGCAGACAAGCAGCTAGAAGAAGAAAGAAATCTACCACTTACCTCTGATTTCTAACCCGACTCCACCTCCGAGAAATCCGCATCATCCCCAGGAAAATCTCTCGCATGCTGCGCTCTCCTCCTCCTCTCTTCCCACTCCTTCCTCTTCAGCACCGCCAAAGCCCGACTAACCTGTTCCATCCTCTCATCCTCTTGAATACGATCTTTGAGACCCTGCTGATCTGCGACTAGGGGCGCACCATAGTAATACGCCTGCGCCGGACAGCCGAGCCACATGAGAAAATCAACGGTGCTACAGTCTTCTCCGGTGGTGCCAATGGGTTTTTCGACATCGCGCCTGAGTAGCTTGTAGAGTTCGTTTTCGTCTTTGATGAGACATGCTTTCTCCGTGACTTTGATGCAGAAGTGGATCCAGTGGAGCATGACCTCTGGATCTAGGGTTCCGGGATGGAGACGGAATTCGATGGTACGTTTTTCAGACTGGTACGGGAGTTTCAAGTTGACCAAGTTGAATGCAAGTCGTGCTCCAACGCCCGCTGTCATATCAGTCCAAAATTGTTTCCAGTCGTCTTGATTTTGGTAGGAAAGAATGTGGTTGAGAAATTCGAGACGTGTGATATCTGGGGCACTCGTGGCGAAAGTGCACCAGGTAAATGATCGGCAAAATGTTTGTGAAGTCTGCGCTCGCTCGGCAGAGACCATCAGCCGAATCTGTCGTTCGTAAGTATACAAAATTGCAACCAGGTTGCGAAATACTGGGAAAGAAAATCCATCATACTCGTTACCAACGTGAACGTGGAAGCCCGCACTGCCATTAACTCGAACTAGATAGTTATTTCTCAATGTCTCTAAAACTACTGGAATAAGTTCTCGTGAAGCCTGATCGTAATAGTAGGGTGGAGATGATATTTCCATACCAAATTCTCTATAATTTGGATGAATTCGCTCTTTTGGGGTGACACTCGAATCAGATTTAAGATGCCATTTAGTTCTTAATTCTGCATCACTCGGTGATGTATCCGTTTCCCACACAGTTGTTGTTACTGGTATACCCTTAGCCTTGAGTCTTTCGCCAATGTTCTCGTTAGCTTTGTCCATGCCATCTAATTTTTTTCCGTCTTTCTCACGTGTATCCTTTGAATGAGGAGCAGGATGAACGGGATGAACAGTAGCTAAGAGATATTCTATCTCGATACCAAATGTGAGCCTAGCCTCAGATTTGACAGCTGTTTTATTAGAGCCTTCTAGTGCCGAGCTCGAAGACATTTTGGTCAAAGGTTAAGGATTGTGATTGTGCTACAATAATCAAAATGTGTTTAGGGTATTATGGGAAGAAGTTGAGTTCTCTAGAAAATGTGTGAGCGATACGAGCCAAATAAATGCCTACATATAAGAGCTACAATGCCATTGTTCCTTGATGATGTTGAAAGTGTATGAGAGAAATCATCTTCTTTTTCAAAAGTTCAAAAGTCCTTTGAGCCCGAATCGTTCTTTGTACTCAAACAACAAGCTGTTGAAGGATTGTTTAAGAACATAGAAGCTCCACAAAAACGATACAACAAGTTGGAGAATCAATGCTAGAAGGTAAGATTTCAAAATCAAATCAAATGCAAATGCTACATTCGTGATGATACTGACGACGCTCACTTGATCCATGTATATAGCATGAATGAAACTTTCATTCCCATTGAAAAAGACGGCTAGAATAAAATGGTGTGTATTCCTATGGTATTTTATGCAACTTCATATGAGATCCAAAATTTCTCCCAATTTCATAAATTTCCCCCAATTAGTGCTGATTCCTTATTTGTTGTCGCGAATGAATGAAACGAACTCCTCATCTAAAAGAACAAAATTCCGTTAGTATTTGAGCAAGTTTGGAGAGGTTTGAAGAGTATTTCAAGAGGAGCTTTCATACAATCTATGCTTCCGTCACCATTCTTATCAACCTCCTTCACCATACTCTTAATCTCGTCCTCTGACAAATTCTCTCCTAGAGATGCCATCAACTTGTAGATTTCTTCTGGGGAAATTGTGCCGCTTCCATCAACATCGAATACTTGGAAAGCGCTGCGCATTTCTTGTTCAAAGTCAACGCCCTTTGTTTCGGCAGTCATCATCTTAAGGAATTCTGTATTTCGAACATTATATGGTTAGAAGAGTTCGAGTGAAAGTATTGACGATGTGAAGATGTGGGGTATTCGTGGTATATCGCGGTGTAACAAACCATCAAAATCGACTGTTCCAGATTGATCAACATCAACCTCATTGATCATATCCTGAATTTCTGCATCTGATGGATTTTGTCCCAAAGACTTCATTGCTTCTGCGAGTTCGGCGGTGGAAATGGTTCCTGGGTAAAGGTAGGATTGTTAGAAAAGGATTGCGAAGAACAAGTGCGGGGTTGAATTGCGCATACCATCACCGTCTTTATCCTGTATTCCAGAGTAAGCATTTGCGCGAACATTCAGAAAAGAAGTTTGACTTACGAAAATGGAGAAAGCATCTCTATATGCTTGAATTTCCTCATTGCTGAGACCCTAGAACAGAGGAGTAGTCAGCACTGGTGAGTACGCGTGAGGTACGAATATCAAAACATCTCTCGTGAAGCTTTCCATCTCTTGAAACTTACTTTGGCATTCTTTAGCTCCGACATTCTGGTGTAGTATGTATGGTGTCAATACTTTGGATACTTGGCAGGTGTGAATAATTTGGCGCAAACAGTAAATATCGAATTCAGATGAACGACTAAAAGGGGTTGAAGGGGTTGAAGGGTTGAAGGGGTTTGACCGTTTAAGAGGGGTGATGATATAAAGTGGCTCGAGATGTTTTTTCTTAGAACCGTTTCGTTTCATAAGGCGAGATCTTTATTTTGGAGCCTCGCAACGAATCGAGCAAATCAAGCAAATCAAGCAACGCAGCCTACTCGTAGAATTCCCAAAATTGAGTGACAGCTCAAGATTCTCCACAAATGATAATCCCTTCCATTGGTAGAAAGAGTCTTTCGGTAAAAAGGGATTGATGATCAATGATAAGAGCTCCAGTTCCGTCCCATTCCCACACTTCACACCCGAAAAGAAGTTTAAAAAATTGACAAATTTGTTGCTTCAATATCTTCACCACAGAGAAAGTTAAAATCAAGGGTCCTGTTTCATGATAATGTAGATCTATTTTTGGAACATGAGAGATTTCTCATCATCCATCCATATCCCAAAAAGCTGGGGAATATCTATCATGCATGGAAGCCATGCCTTTAATTGATGGTATCGTGGCTGTGTTGGATCATTGAGTGGAACCTCAAGAAGCAATCAAGGCAATCCCGCCGCATCCAATGGCAATATAAATAAGTGAGGAAACGATGGATTGGATCACGTTGACGTCTTTTCTCTTTTGGGAATAAGTTGCATCGTAAGGAGTGTGAGATGCCAAGGACAAACACTTCCATTACTCATCATTAGATGAACAGACGAGACAGATTCCATTCCCTCTACGAGACTACCTACCTTAAGGTTAGCTGGAGTAGGTACCTCCCTCTGTACGTACACATAAAAGATTTTGTGGCTGTGCAAAGTCCAAAGCGAGTGTCATCCACCTGGGCATCCATACCTAGGTAAGCAACCAACGACTTCACCTCACTTCACATCTACATTAAGAAATACTACATCGCCTCAAACTCATACGTTTGTCCATCTACTGGAGCGACAATCTCACTGGTGAAATCTCAAAAGTATAACAATATCATCAATCAACGAGATCCGCGGCTCTACATCGGGCACGACGCATCTGCAATATGGGGAAAGAAACGCCACAGCCCTACAAGGCTGATGCTCATAGAGATCTATTAGAAACTAGCAATGCTGCTGCTTCTTCCTCAAGCTTTCTCAATAATATTGATCAAGAATACCCCGAAGAGGATCTTCCAACTTATGAAGAAACATCCTCATCGGCACCTCTTCTTTCGCGTACTGATGGCCCGTCTGCCAGCAATTCCCACTCTACCTCCGGTGCAGGATGGTATATGTAAGTATCTCTTAATAGATGTGCCGTGCAATTTAAACTAACTTACTCTGTTCTAGCCCTCCTCCCGATCTTCCTTTCTCTTCGCACGACTATAGTTCATCCGATTTCTGGACAAGGTTCCCAAATTATTCTACAGATCCCGATGCTCTTCGTCAAATGATCCTCGAACAAGCTCAATATGCTCCGACCTATTATGTGGAAGTATCGGGGACTCACACAGAAACCGAGCGTCGACACAAGAAAGACTCATCGGAAACTATTACGGATTTCCACATACGTCTGAATTTAACACATTTACTCACGACCGGAATAAGAACTGGAGGAAAACTAGAGATCTTGCCAGATAACCAAAAGGGATATCGAGGAGGAATCATCAAGTCACTAGAGCCCTCCCTCTCAAACTGTGATATTGAGTCCGGCTCGACAGGGGATGAATTACAAGCCTGGTGTGGAAAATTCGTTTCCGATCCATCTGGCATGAAATGCTTCATATTTGAACGCAAGATCATAAATCATGACAAAAGTCATCTGGAGTACCTCTTACGACGTGTCGTTACATCTACAAATTACCGTGGTCGAATTCACGTCAATTTTCCAACGTCGCACAAACGAGTAATTGTTTATTCGCCACATATGATCAACGAATGGCGAATGACTACTTGGATTCGTTGGTTCTTTTATCTCACATTCCTATGGGTAGTTTCCTGGCCAATTCTCTTCTTGGTCACTCGTCGCTACGAGGTCGTGAGATGTATATATCAATATGCAGACAGACGTGCGGGAGTCGGTGCTTCCCCTCGAAAACCAACTGTGCAAAGCGAGGATGATTTTGTTAATCATTGGGAAGCTGCTTTGAGATCTGCAATTATGGGACGAATGATCCGAAGAGACTCTTGTCTGGATGAAGATTATAGAGTACAGATATTGCAAGCGGAAGTTGCGAGAGGTCAAGCGGCTGCACGTGCTCTAAACGGTACGGGTAATGCTTTGGCGGATGGCGCGATTGGAGTTATCGCAGCAGCGACGAGCTTCGTAGGCGAATATAATGATGCGAGAGGTTGGGGTTATGATTCTTGAATATCATTTTCATATAGATGCTACGAGTAATACGAGTCAGCGTGGAGTTTGGATTAATTTGTATGCTTAGAATAGCGAGTCAGTATACCAATTTAACAAGTGAGCGTTTATTTGGTAATGATTACACCCATTTGGGACGCAGGCTTTTGTCTCTCTTAACTACCACGAGTAAGGAAAACACATTGATCTGAATCTCGAACACTATAATCTTGTATTCCTTTCTTATTTCTAAGCCATACAACTATTGATTCGGAAAATATGAAAAAGGTTCGAGTTCCTAGTCTCGACATCTACCATCCATTACCATGACACTCTGCGCATCGCATAATGAAAATCTGATCTCGGATTCTCATCCTCCAATCCCCAATCCATACCCAATCCTGAAACCACATCACAGTATTCCGTATCCCTTCCAAGCAAGCTATGCTATCCCACACAAATCCACATTTCACCCCTTCGCAGAAACTTCTCACACGAGAAATTAAACTCTCTCACTGGCGTCAGAGTTTCGTAACAGTATCTGAAGTTGTAGATGAACCCTGAAAATATACATGTCCGCAGCTGAGACATTGGATGGGGCTTTGGTAGTAGATTGTAATGGGTGCATTGCAGAGACTGCATTGGGTCTGGAAACCGCGGGGGGGTGGTGGCATTTTTGAGATGGGGTGGGTTGTATGGAATGGATGGAGTGATGTGATGTGATGTGATTTGTAGGATTGGTGGGAGGTTTGTGGTTTGTGGTTGGTGGTTGGTGGTTGGTGGTTGGGTGGGTTGAGTTGGTGTGTTGTGGGGAGGTAGATGGAGAGAGTTGAATTTGAGCGTTTATATAGAGGGATGTGGGATGTGGATATGGGATGTGGATATGGGATGTGGATATGGGATGTGGATATGGGATGTGGATATGGGATGTGGGAAATGTGAATGTATATCTGGTTTCGATTCTGGATTTTGAGGGAAATGCGATTTGATGAGGAGATTGTGAATGTGTATTGGCATAGGACGAGTGAGATGTTGAAGTATTGAAGTACTGTGAATCGAAGTGGAGTATTCGATTTCCGTGTGGTTAATAGTTATTTTCTGATGGATTGGAATGAGATATGTTTTGGGATTGAAGATAATAGGGAATGATTCAAGTTACTTATTTTCCTTTTTTTGGGGAGAAATTGGTCAGGGTGGATTTGGATATAGTGACTTGGTGTAACAGATGAGAGTATTGGACTGGTCTCAGAAGGATATTTCTAATGTCAAAAGCTCGTTTGAGAGTATTCACTAAAAGAAGAGGAGTTGCTTTGACAAAATGAGAACAATGAATCAGAAGGTTTTTCAATTAGTCAATGTTGACGGCCCCAGTCTACTTGTTGGTTGACCGAGGATTTGATGGATATATCAAAATATTGGCTTGAAAGACTGTAGTTATAACAGCGTATGTGTCAAACCGTTCTTCCCTCAAAGAGTAAAAATAAACTCACGGTACTTGACTCTGTACAAGGAGGGTTTAGGGGACTTGGGCAAGTAGGAAGTAAAAATATACCGAGAGAAGTGTTTGTGATGAAAAAATGCATGGGAAAAGAGATAAAGAATGAAGAAGAGAGGTTGTTGAGCAGATATTCTGAACTAATTACTATTAGGCAGGAAGAATCGAAAGTGGCTATAGTTGCAACCATATCTAAGCAACACTCGTTCTTACAATTCAACAACGTTACCACGAAATGAGATATTATTCCCTGAACTTCAGACAGATCGGAAATAACACAATCCTGAAAATAATTGGTCAAATTCCAGCACCAGTGTTCTTCATTACCTTAACTTTAAGTCATGACACCATCTATACAGGCCCATTATGTCTAGAATGCGGCAGATCTGAGAATTTTGCCCCTCGGGATGCACGCACTCTCATGTGTGACTTTTGCGGGATTTACACACATAATGACAGTAATTCTCAAAAGATTGCTGAAACTCCCCACAACTTTGTGTATTGGAAATGTCTTTATTGTGGTCGACCAGAAAACCCCGTGGCTCAGGCGACACCTTGTGTGTGTCGATATGACTTTTGTAGGCGTCAAGCCAACTACAAAACTACTGAAGAAGCCAATACACTGAATTATACTTCGTGAGAAGAGAAGTTTCGAAATGAGAATTTGTGGGATGGGACACCGCCAGTGGAAAACAGTCGGAGATTGACGTTCTGAGAGATTATTGGAGAAGATACTCTACGAAAAGATACAACTCAAAGTGAACACCAAGGAAATACTTACGAATGTGAAAACCACGCTTTTCCAAAAATGTGTTTCGAGAAAGCTCATGAGAACCTCACTTCAGGGAAAGACACTCCTCAAAAAGATACATTTGCTTTCCAACTATCTATCTGAAATAAGTGTAAGTTTCACCCAGCGCAATATTGTTATAATGAAAGCTAAAAGGGCCAAGAAACTGATGATTGAACCACAAATTTGATACTAAATTCAACATTCGAGTTGGATATACTCACTTGAAGTTCCTATACTCGGTGTCGGCGGAGCAGACCAATGCGTACGTGGATCATAGGGGTAAATATATGGTGCGGCCACTGGTGCTCTGAGTAGATTTTGTGATAGCGCGAGATTGCCTTACGGCAAGTTCTGGTTTATAAGGAAACCATTATCAAAAAAAAAGAACAACAGTCTATTTTACTGAGAATCGCTTGCTGTGGGTACTGAATGTAAGATTCAACTGCCGAGAAGGATTTGTGAGGGAACAAATTGAATATTACTACACCATTTTGTGCCCCGAATTTTTATTTCCTTCCATAGTAGTTCGATTTTGTGACCTCGAGTTCTTCTTTTAAGAACCTTTTCACATCTCTATTCCGATATCATTTTGCAACTTTCTCGTAGTTGGAAAGCTAAAAATAAGTTCACAGATATCTGCCTTATTCTGTGCCGCACAAACGTTGTTAGCGAGTTCTGAGTGGTTTAAAGTGATGATTTGTTCATTCCTAGTCCACCCTCCATCGTATTGAATCTGACTCTGTAACCTTAATTATTTAGATACTTAGCTAGGTTATTTTATACTTTATTCATATCATATAATGCCCTCTTCTTCCCCCGCCTCTTATCTTAATCCTCAACTAACACTCCACAAGTTTTGGATGAAGCTACATATTCTGATATAATCATCCCATCATCTTTTGACAAGAGCCTTGTCATCATTCTGATAGCTTCTATGCTCATAAGAAATAAAAGACTACTACTCGAGTTCAACAGCAGTACTTGTATCATTCATTACTTTACCTATCAAATTTCACGATCGCGATGCAGCCAGGAAAGGAGTTGAACCAACGTTCAAAGCTACATTTCTTCGATCTCGCCATTGAGATCCGACTTAAAATCTACAATGAACTACTCATTGCCTCGGATTCTAAGCCTATTGAAATAAAATCCTCCGAAACAAGTCCATCGCATTTGATACTAAGCAAAGAATATCGTCTCTGTCCCACAATTCTACGAATCAGCAAACAACTCCACTTGGAGGCATCTCCAATTCTCTACTCCAGCAACAAATTTGTGTTATGCCGTCTCCAATCCTTCTATATACCAGGCTATAAGATCATCACTGGGTTTCTAGCACAGATCGGAGAGAGAAATGCTCTTTTTCTTCGGCATCTGGATCTCTATTTTCCACTGTTTCCGAATTCGATTTTTGGACCTGGTCAGCCTTGGCCCGCTGGAAGAGATTCTGAAGTCATCGAATTAGTTATTGATAAATTCAGAAATCTTGTGACATTCAAGGTATCTCCGTGGGACAATTTACGATTTGGTGGTGGCAGTATAAGGCTGGCAGTCAATTCCTCGAGGAACTCCGGAAGCATTGATTCCTTTGAGTCTATTGGTATGGGTTTGAGCGCATTCGATGCGAGATTCAAAGCCATGCCAGCTTTGAAGGAGACCATGGTAGATTTTCATGTGTCGAATACGTGGCCTGATGATTTAGTGGATAGATTTTTGAGGAAAAAGATACACGGTAGTAGATGGGTGTGTCAAGTTACCAGAGAAGAAAGTCTGTCTGAATCGGATACAGTTGGCTGTTACTTTGGATTATTCTCCTAGTCTCCAGTCAAGGTCAGGTCAAAGATGGAAGAGTCAAAATTAATTTCTTGTGAGAAGTTGGCTGAGACATCGGTCACTACGCTCAATTAAGGAGAACCAAAAACTTGCAATATCGAATCCGTTGCAATTCTACCAAGATAATCTGTTTCGCAAGGCATGACCGAAGAATTAAACTCATATGGGTAAAGTCCGAGAACAAGCATACTTCGTAGATCCTGAGAATGCAATGCTTGAATACAAATTTCGGTCCAAGTCAAAATAAGGTTTGCCAAAAACCTTAATTATCCCTATCGACCAGATCGAACTATAATTTAGCCCTATAATCCCAGCTACACGAGAAATAGACTTCTTTAGATAATAAATCGAATTATAAATCGAATGCAGCGCATGGAAATTTGAACCAAAGGACTTTCAATTTTTCTGAATGCAAAGTCTGCATCTTGGCACAACCCAGCAATGGAGAAATTGTAACAGACATTTGTCCGATATAAATATTGGACAATGTAATATGTGGCAATTCTTTTGTAAGTAAAAGCAGTCACTTTCATTGAATCGTCACTCTCTTGGAAACTTCACTCATTTGTTCAAAATGCCTTCCGTTGGCAAGATTCTACTCGCCGCTGTCAACTTGTCAGTCCTTGTTAATGGACTAACGTGGACCTCATGTGGTATCGGCGTAAAATGCGCAACCCTTGAAGTTCCACTCGAATATGGCGATTCGAAGTCAACAGCAAAAGCAAATGTCGCGCTTGCTCGTTATCCTGCCACTGTAGCAGCGAACAAGAAGCTCGGGTCTCTTTTGATCAATCCAGGTGGACCCGGTGCCAGTGGTGTTGGCTTTGTGCAGTCCGGGGCCGGTGCCGCGGTCTCGGCACTGAGCGGTGGATTGTACGATGTCATCGGATGGGATCCACGTGGAACTGGTGCTTCGGCTCCTATCTTGGAATGCTTTCCAAATGCCAGTGCGGAGTATGATTTCAACAACGCATTTCCATCTGCTCCAAATCTTTGGCTCGGACAATTTGCAAATGCTAGCGCCAATGCTGCTGTTAGCTCTGCTATCACATCTTTTGACGCCTCTGTCGCTACTCTTGCAAAAGCCTGTGTAGCTCAGAAATCTCCCGCTCTTTACACCTCAACAGCAGCATATGTTGTCCGAGACATGGCAGCGATAGTTGATGCATTGGATGGAACTTCTGCAAAACTCAACTACTGGGGTTTCTCATATGGAACTATTTTCCTCGCAGAATTTATCCAAACTTTCCCAGGCCGCGTGGGAAGAGTTATTGCCGATGGTGTCTTTGATGCAAAGGCAAACGCCCTTACATATGTCAGCCAATTGCCAAACGATCAAGTCAGTGTTCGTGCTTCGTTGAACGATTTCGCAGCTTTCTGCAACACCGCCGGCAGTAAAGGATGCTCTTTTGCCACCGCTCCTACTGGAGTCACAGGTACTGTGGCCACCAGACTTGACAACATAATGGAGAACATATTCAAAAATCCTATTGTTGCTTCGGGCTTAAGCATTAGCTTGAATATCCTCAGTCCCCTTCTTGCATCTCTTCTGAGAGTTCCAACCACTTGGAAAACACTTGCATCTGTCTTATCCGGTCTCGAAACCCGTGACGCAACTGCTCTTATTTCACTCCTTGGGTCCTTAGCAGCGAGTGCACCAACCGATGGCTCCGCAGCAGGTGTCGGAACTCTTGCTACTTACCCACTTGGTTGCGTTGATAATGCTGCGTCAAATGGAATTACGTTGGACACTGTCATCTCTCTCACAAAAAGCATTTCAATCTCCGAAAATACTCCAATTCTAAATGCTGATCTTATCCCCATCACATTTTGCCGTAACTTCCCCTCCACACGTCCGCTTGTTCCAAACGTAGGAGCGAGTTTAATGGCGAAAACAGATACTCTTCTCGCAACAGCCAAAACACCAATCCTTATCGTCTCAGCCGAGAATGATCCGACAACACCTCTCAAGTCCGCAAAAGCACTCCGCAGTCTACTCCCTAGTTCATCCACCCTCGTATACCGTGGAGGAAGTGGGCATACCACTATCTCACATGCATCTCTCGGAATGGCAAAAACGATCTCCAATTTCTTTGTAAGCGGTAAAATGCCCAAGGATGGAGCTCGCTTTCCGGTGGATCAGAATGTTTTCCCCACCGCTGCAGCGAGTGGTTTAGTTACACCGGCAGCTTTTAACGGAACCTATACTACGCAAGAGCAGAGTTTCTTAACCGCAACATACAACATTGGCCTTGCCTTTTTAGCAATCGCATAAAAGGTCTCCATATAATCATAAACCATTAGATAATAATACATCGCAATCAAAAATTCTCACCATGAGCCCCTATCCCGTGCAATCGGACCGTATGCGTGATAGAAATTTTGGTGATACCCAACGAATCTTCAATGTAAAGCCGAGACCACAACATATCAAATGTCATTCTTGCATGTATGATATTGTTTTCACGGTACTATTACCCCAGAATGTACCCCAGAAACCCTGCACCAGGTCAGCGATCACAGGGCACGCCACAGGAATTTAACCGACTCGTCCCCCCTTTACCCGACAAGCATGTCGGTTCCACAAATTGTGTTTCAAAGTGATTGACGGGCAGAATCTGGGCGTCCTATCAGCACTGTGAAGAAGTTATCCTTAGGTCCATTTCCCTGATTCTGCAGTTTTCGCGGAATGGAGTGTGGGAATGCCAAGATAAATGATATATCATGATAAGCAGGAAGTGGGAAGGGATGAAAGTGTTGATAGATTAACATATAATTGACCCGATAGAACAAAGACGGAATGATATAACAGTAGCGACTTGAGGTCACTAGGACTGAGCTAGAATAATTGAAATAAGAATTCAAAATTTCGTGATATCTGCGTTGACAGGTCTGTCTTGAAAGAGTTCCCACTTCTTAATATACCATATCGGAGCACAAATTTTGCATCTACTAATTGTGAAACTCCCGACAAGTAATAACTCTAACCAAAACTCCAAAACTCCAAAATGTTCAAATATTTTACTATACTCCCTATCTTCCTCGCATCGCTCCTGGCCTCTTCAACTCCACTACCTCTAACAGAAACCACTCTCTCCACTGATTACACATCCCAAGGCTATCTTATAGCCCTCAACGCATCAGCGCCTTATTTTGCAGGAGCTGGTCCTATCGCCGGCTGCATAACCTCGATTTTCACTTGGACACTCGACACTACTGCATGTGGTCTCTTTGATGGCACTCGCGCTGTATATAGCAAAAGTATCGGGATGTGGATGTATGCATTTGGAAGTGAAGCGGGTACGTGCGGTCTTGTTGAAGGTGGCCGAGTAACATGTTCGGTAACTGGGGTTGAAAACCAGGGAAAGTGGAGCGCGGTATGTCTGTTTTTCCGTACGAATTAAATGTAATTCAGGCAAAAAGTCGTTGGAAAAGAGACGGGAAAGAAAGGCTAATCTGAAATGCGAATAGCCCAACTCTACAAAATCGGGTGTGCCATTATACATGATGGGCTGGGCAAATTGGCCAGTTCAAAGGTGGCCGAGCAGTGGAGTAGATGTTGATGTTTGGAATACTTTGGTGGATAATCCTGCGCCTGGAATTTATTTGGATGGGTTTGCCAGATCGTTTAGTGTGAGATGGCGGGCTGCATGATCTTTGCAGAGGTCAATATCTGAATTTGGCGTTGGTGTGGACTGGTTAAGATGGGAGATGGAGCAGTCTGCATGAAAACTCTACTTCAAAAAAGTAAGACTGGTCTCTTGATTGGATTTATGATTTTTTTCTTCTCGGAAATGGGACAGGAAAAAGATGCAATGGACAAAGGTGGAGTAACTGTATTCATCACTTCACCCATCGTAAATTAAATGAAGGAAAATCGCTTCAACATTCGATAAATTATTCATGAGACTTTCGATAACTCGAAAAGAAAAACAATTGGTGACATCAAAAATCCCTCAATTGAAGGGCTTTTGTGTGGAAGAGTAAGGAGAGTTCCTGCGGAAATATGCTGCCACTGCACTGACAGACTCTTTACCGCTTGATCCGAACTCTTAGGGTTCGCGTTGAATATCTGGCTTGGGGCTTATGTTTATTGAAGAGAACACTGCAGATATATCATATCCCAGAATTGAAGTTTTGTGCGTGTTAAGGACTTTGAGATCTTAGTTTTTACCCGCAGATCAACGTCCCATATAACAAGAAAAGCTTTTTAAACTCTAATTTTTTTCAGGTGGCGAAAAATGGGTATAGCCCTTGTGTTAATTCTGGGTATCCTACGGAGCAAAGAGGCCACATTAATTTCCGGAAAGCTTTGCTAGCTTTGCCTCAACAATGCGCTCCACCATTTTTTCCAAGATGGCAATATCTCCACCGGTTCCTTGGGCGAAATATCCCTCCACAGCTCTCTCAATGTATTTGCCAATTTGATCCACCTCGACGTTGATATATTCTCCTTCTTTCTTGAGAGCTGTGACTATTTTCGTTTGGGTATATGCGATCAACATAATCTCAAACCATTCCTCATCAACCTTGGTAATCGTCAAGCTGGCTCCGTCAAGCGTGACATATCCCTTCTCTACAATATATCTCATCACTTGTTTGTCTCTGGGCTTCAATCTCAGGGTTAAAGCCTCTCCATCCTCTTCTCTCTTGATCAGCTCTGCGACAGTATCCACATGTCCTTGTACGAAATGTCCTCCCATACGTGTGTTCGCAGAAACGGCGCGTTCGAGATTGACTTCGGAGTTGACTTGTAGAGAGCCGACGTTTGTACGACGAAGAGTTTCTGGAGCGCAACCAACTGTAAAACTATCCTCCGTGAAGGTTGTGACTGTAAGGCAGATACCGTTTACGGAAATGCTGTCGCCGAGTCCGCAGTCTCCGAGGATTGAGGAGGCATTGCTGATGGTGAGAGTGGCACCATATTGACTGTCGAGTTTGATGTCGGAGACAACTGAAAATGTTAGTGAGTTGACATTGGATATTGAAGAATAACAGCAAACCTCCTTTGATCTCAACAAGACCTGTGAACATTGCGACGGCTTTGAAGAATTGAATGCGATTGAAGGTTGAGCTTGGCTGATGGTATTAAATTACCCCGCCATGACCAATGATATTTGATATTGTATTGCGCTAAACTCCTTTTGATGAGTTACATAATACACATCAACATGGATTTTGGTTTCCTTTTGAACTACATCTCAAAACTTCGTATTCGAATTCGGGAAACAAGAAAATATGTCCTGCTAGTTACTAACCGCTACTATTGCTCTAGGTAAAATTCATATCAACGTTGTTGTCCTATGCTCCAGTATTGGAAGAAAGTATCTCCAAAAAATCAAAAAAATCATTTCTCATGGACTGTCTCATGTTTCTGTTTCTTCTGTGGCATGAGGTACGACATATTTGAGGGAATCTTGTTAGTTTCACAAGTAGTGCAGTACCATCGATTGATCGAAACTACTTTCTAAACTATTAGACACATCTGCTTTTCACGTCGATGAGATCCGATTTCAAAAATTGCATATCCAAATGATGCATCGGGAGACGGGAAGCCACAAACGGGTGAAGGTCCTCGAGAGTCCCTAACGAACTACTAGGTAGCTCATGCTTAGTATTCGAACTAATGCAATGCGTCACATTTCATGGCATGGACTGTGGATGCTCTACGAAGTGTTCTGTTTGATTATCGAATCAGATTTATTGTCACATACCGATTATCCGAGGTCGTTCCAATGATTATATCCTACAGTTCTCTTATCTACACTCCATGAAATCCAGAATATGTATGCAAACCTTTACAATCAGGAAGACCTTTAGAGTGTAAAGCGTAAAACATTATTAACGTCATGACAAGCAAGCGTACCTTGATATGTCAATCTAACGGGAGAGCTACTGCAAGGCGGCCTTAGCAATGCTCAATGCTAACATAGCGTTGTTCCTGGGGAAGTTTATGATGTATTGACGTTTGAAATGATGATTTCATTGCTGATAATTTCATTGCTAATGATTTGCTCAGGATTCTGAAAATGTCTTGGAAAGTCTCAATGATTCAGGATACTTGGGTGATTTATCAGAATATTTATGATATCACCATCTTCTAGCCTTTTTTGTACTTTCCGTCACACAGAGCTCATCTATCTCAAGCTTTAGCTAAGATGAGTACAAGTAGAGCTTTCTTCCGCACATTTTCTTTCAACAACCAAACGAACTCAAGTCTCTGCAAAAAATCCAGTCCAGAAAATCACCAAATCCATCATGTCATCCTCAGAAGTTCCCCAAGGGAATCCCACAGACAACGATTATGTCTCCCGTCCTGGCCACAAGCAGGATCCAATTCCAGTTCTGAGTGACGAAGCTTCTATTGAAGAAGGCAAGTTTTGTCTGTATTCTTGATGATTGACTTGAGCTAATAGCAGTGTGTAGAAACCGCCGACAACGTCGCTGTCGACAAAAGCAATATCATCAATGATAAAACCAGACATGCCGCTAAGTCTGCTGAGACTTACCGAGAGCCTGGGGACAATGAGGGTTTACCTGAGGATGATGGGAGGAGTGCTGTTGCCCAGTAAATTTTGTTAAATGCCTTATAACGTCTCGTGCGAAGGGGCGAATTAGATGTAATATTGAGGGATCATGGCAATGGACCCGAATTCGATGGCGCCTTTCTCGGACGTGTACATTGTTGATGTTGACTTTACTCGAATATATATACAATAATGATACCGTATTACTTCCTGGAATCTCTGTTCAAGCTCAAGCTGCCACTTTGATCCCATTTTCGAGAGTGTGAGGCTCATAAATTCTCGGTATCAATCCCTCAACCATATCAATGGCTCCTTCCATGCTGTCCTTGTTGAACACAAAAAGCCCCTGTATGGCAGCCATACTGGTATGGAGCTCTGGTTCAACAGTCTTACCTTCTTCATTAGCAACAAGCCCAAGACTTTCTAGCTTTGTCAAAAATCGCAATTTTCCATTTCCATCCTTGTCAATATCGCCATAGAATCTATCCCACATCTCCGCAGCTTGATATCTTGTAGCTTCGCCAATTCTCTCGATCATATCAACTCGTCCAGGCCGTATTAGCGCAGCGTCAAGTCTGTCAATGTGATTGGTAGTGAGGAAAGCTATTCTTTCTTCCCCAGCCGCCACTCCGTCCAGTGCATTCAACAATCCCGAAAATGTTACTGTTGCGCCTGAATATCCTTCGGAATCTACCTGTTTCCGATTTACAAACGCAGCATCTGCATCTTCAAGCAGTACTAGGGTTCTCGGAGGTAACTTCGTTAGGAAATGCGCCAACTTGTCATCTGTCATTCCCCGCTCGCTCAAATTTATCATTGCGACCCCAAAGTTCAATTCCCCAGCCAAGGCCTGTATAAAAGAGGTTTTACCACTCCCAGGCGGACCATATAGAAGATAACCTCTACGATAAGGTATTCCTCGATCCACATACCATTGTTGCCGACCTAGAAAATCTGTCACATCATCGAGGATTCGCTCCTTGACTCCTTCGTCTAGTATTACAGAACTTAATGGCCTTTTTCGTCGCGCATCTCCGAATTGTCTCCATTCCATTCCAGAGCTCTTATAAACAACCGTTTTCCCTTCCCGCTGTGTCGCAGCTAATTCATGCGCTTCTGCAAAGATATCTGCGAATATATGTCGATGAGCGTATAATGTTCGCAGAGTAATTGTCTCGTGCGGTACACCAGTATTCATATTATGACTACTTTGCTTCTCCCGCTGGACTAAAATAAAAGCATTCTTATGCTGAACAACATGCCTACCATATCCCGGCTGCGCAAGAAATGTCGCAGATGATGGACCGCCCTCTAGTTGTTCGCCGGTCGTTCGCATAGAATAATCATGAACACGGGTGATTCTAGATGCGATGAATCCTCCAGGTGGTCGAGGAAGACATAGCCATGCTAAGATCCATTGATATGATGGATCCTCCTTACTGATTTCGAGATTTACCAAAAGACGACGTTTGATAGTTGAAGCTCCCAGTATCATGAAACGTCGACCGATGGCGGCAGAAGCTCCGAGACCTGCAAGACCAATGCCTCCGGCAAATACGGGATTATTGAAGAGCGCATCGAGAGTCGTCAGTGACGTTGTTGATGGATCAGGCATTGTTTGGTGGTGGGAGTAATCTTGGGATTATCGAGTCGCCTGAAAAAAGCTCTGGAATACCCGATAGTAACCGATGTTTGTGGGGGGATAAGCTTATCGAGCTTATATCAAATCGACTCGATAAGAAATCAAAACATCCAATTTATTACAACAAAACACTAGCCATCTTACATTCTCATTCTACATTGTCATCAGCATATGAGATACCCCTGAGACAAAGAAACACAGATCGCAATAACATTGGCTTAATGCAACACAGCAGGTCGTTGATGACTGGGACATCTAGAGTGCCAAAATCTGGATTGCACTGCAGGACCAAATCTCGATCGAGGAAGGCCTGAATTCTCCAATACGGAGTACAAGACGATAACCTCACAAGCAATAGGATTGATCAGGTTCTTTCAACCATGTCCTCCGGGTTATCAGTACTACATCCACGACCCTGATACATGCCAAACGAGCATCCTCTAGTGGGCTAACCTGTGTCGAGGCAGTCGAGTGATTGACCCACTTTCAGTATTTAGGAGAGGGATGATATTTATTCATTTCAGCTACTACATACCCAGGGGGAAAGTTGGCGCAGTTGCCGATGTCGTTTACAATATATTGTCAAATTCCTGCATTGTTACTCAATTTTTACATACGAGCAATTTTATAATCTGCCCATGATGACTATTCGAAAACTCAAAGTTGAGTGTGTTTGATGTGCAGTATTCCTAGAGCAATTGTGACTACAAAGTTTCACGAAGTCTTCTATCTGCTTGTTGGAGTGCTACGATAACCCTGTGGTTTTTTTTTCGCGACATAGGACGAGTAGACGATAGTAACATTCATCGTCTCTAACCAGCAAAGTGGGGTTTGTATGGGTCTTCAAAAAGGAACAAAGTGCACTAGTTAGAAAGCATTCAAGACTGGACAATACAGGTTAGAATCAAATTCGACGAACTACTTGAACCAAAAATATCAATATCCAAAACTACATGGAATCTATAAGGCTGTTCTAAAATCAGATCATCGATTCTGTTGCTTCACTTGATTGGGTCTATCGTACACGAAATCGTAAAACATCGGTGAAACCAGTGAAGCACCATGCGAGTATCTACGTATGGAGGGTGTTCCCAGGTTCACACGTGTTTCAATATTCCATGTACGCATTTTTAGAACATTTGTTACCCCGGACTTGATTACAAGTCCGTATTTCACTTATCCGCTGTAGTCGTTTCTGTACGTGAGGAAGCCTCCTTGAGATGTTGAGGTCGTACCTGTACGATTGAACCACAACAATTGATGAACGGCTGCTGCTGAATTCTTATTCTCATAAGAGTACAGCATTGTATATCCGTTCTCAAAATGACCTTAACTCTACCAAAATGGCACTTTGCAACTTAGTGTGGTTACTCTGTCGATGTATGGGATTTCTCAAATACATCGAATGTCCTGGTCAAAAACTGCCACGCTCAGACTATTGTGACCCTTCCTGAAACTCTGGTACTACTTGGCAAACTTTTTGTTCTATAAGTTTTAAGGCGACCAATCATTTTCATTTTGTGATAGTTTTATTTCCTTACACCTATCTATTCTAGACTCTATTCAAGTTCAGTTGCCTGACCCAGCCACATTCCCCGTCCCGAAAGTCAAAATTTCATCGACATGATAAGATGAGAACAAAACCAGTTGTGGATCTGGCCACACAATGCAAAAAAGTCCGAACCTTGAACGGCTCTAACAAAACCTCATGGACTCCCATCACCATGATGTTATTCATGGTTTTATTGTAAAATTCTGCGAGGCCGGCCCCCTCATGATTTACTTATTCAGTTAAACTAGACTCTTTTTCCGCAGTGACTGCGGGCAGTCTGAACCATGGGAAAGATAGCAACAAAACTACGGGAGATTAAGGAAGGATTCAAAAACGATGAAAACTTAACTCGAGGAAGAAAGGGCTTTGTTCGCGGAATAAAAGCATTACCGTCGTCGACAGGACATTATTTGGTTCGGAAGATTCCTTTCGTACGTTGGTTCCCAAACTATGCTCCAAGATGGCTTGTGGACGATATGATTGCTGGAGTAACAGTCGCATTGGTCTTGATTCCCCAGGCCCTGGCATCTGCAGCGTTAGCTGGCATACCATTGCAGCAAGGACTCTTTGCTAGCTGGTTGCCATCGGTCATTTATTTCTTCATGGGTACATCGAAAGGTATTACTTCTACATGAATTTAAGATTGCTTGATGCTAAGAATTGTAGACATTGCTACAGGCCCTACAACATCCTTGAGTCTACTTACCAACGCCGTTGTGTTATCGATTGCTGCCCAAGATCTTCCGATACCGCCAGCTCTCATTGCCTCCGGTATTTCTTTCTCGATAGGCGCCTTTTCTCTATTATTCGGACTCCTAAACCTTGGATGGATCCTAAATTTCATCACTGTTCCTATGCTAGTTGGGTTCCAAATGTCAGCAGCGTTAATCATTGTTCAAGGCCAGATTCCATTGATACTAGGAGAATCAGGTGTGGGCCAAGACTTTACGCTACAAGGAACGCAAATCCCCAATAACATTGCAACTACTCAGCCGTTATCATTGGCTGTTGGCGTAGCCTCCATAGTGATTATCATTCTACTGAAGCTCATGGGTAAAAGGTGGGGGCACAAGAGTAGTATCATCAGGATCTTGTCAAACTTACGGAACGCTTTCGTGATTGCTATTTCCACTGCGATATCCTTCATCGTCAACAAAGATCTCATCATTCCACAATTTCCCATCGCCGGGAAGGTAGCATTAACCCTACAATCTCCACAACTTCCGACTAAAATTGTTCTGCTTGTCGCCAAGAAATCATTCCCCGTGAGTTAGTCCAAGACCAATGCTCAATAGGCCGGACACTAATCTTCTAATTTTTACCTAGGTTTTTATAGCTGCTATGGCTGAGCATTTGATATTCGCCAAGTCATTTGCTCGTGAACACAACTATGAAATCGATGAATCGCAAGAACTCGTCTTTCTGGGGACCGCAAACATTGTGAATGGCTTTTTTGGTGGGATGCCAGTATCCGGATCTCTTTCTCTATCAGCAGTGAATTCAACAACTGGAGTGAGATCACCACTCAGTGGGCTTTTCTCTGCCGGATTTGTTTTTCTTGCCATCAATGTATTGACGGAAACTTTCCAGTGGATACCAACCGCAGCAACCAGTGCAATTATACTTATCTCTGTAGGAGAAACATTACCTCCAAACAGAATTCCACTCACATACTGGAAAGGTTCATTTGCAGATTTCATAGGCTTTTTTGTCGTCATGAACGTGGCGTTGATTGCAAGTATAGAGTTTACTCTTGGGCTTGGGTAGTCTACATAGCGCTCTACACTCTTTTACGCACACTATTCTCCTCGATTAGTCCGCTAAAGCCCCACGATCTCGAAAACAGATACAGTTTTGAAAGTGTAAACAGAATGAGTATACCTCTTCAGGGAGGGCGCCTAGTACCTCAAGGCACGCAACTCATTACGTTAGAAACTCCTCTCATTTACTTGAACGCGGAGAGGATAAAGAAAGATATTCTAGAAGCTATTTGGACCTATCACGAGCCGACTCTTTACGAGTCAACGGAACGAAATGGATGGAGCGACTATCGAGTTCGAAGGACTGCCGCCCTCCGTCGCAGGAGTAACATTAATACACCAACCAGATTTCTTCCCAGGCTTGAAGTCGTCGTATTCAACTTCACACGAGTCACATTCATTGATACTACCGGTCTCACCTACCTTCAAGATCTCAAAGACGAAATTATGGCCTATAGTGGTGACGCTGTAGAGTTACGTTTCGTAGGTATGATTGACGCTGTACAGAAAGAAATTCAAAAGAGTAGGATGGCCGTTGGGCACTTATCAAGAATCACAAATCGGCCTAGTCGCGGGAATCGACATAATATTTGAAGATCTACATGATGCGGTCGCAGCACCTAGAAGTGTTAGAGCATCTATGAATGGACTAGATTTTGGGTTTGTGAATTCGAGGAATGATATGGAACAATTTACGGATGAGGAGGCTTTTCAAAAGGGCAGGATGAACATCATAGTGACAAATGTTGTGACAAAGGATGGGAGGGCGTATAAGGAGGAAATTTGAATATACCTTTAGGTGCTTTGGAGTATTTTGGGAGCGATCTTTGCTATATTCACGAATAGAATAGGAATTATAGAAAACATGTATATGTGGAGAATCATTGCGGGAGGACGCTTTCCTGAACTACATAGTCAAAACGATGAAAGACGTCAGGAAAATCACCATTATCGACTCATAAATCTCAAGCGAATGATGATCTCCAGTCTGATTTACATGTCCTTTCAATTGGGCAAACTCATTCACTCGTATCATTGCTATTTCGCGAGAAGAGTTGGTTGAGTGGTCTGTGCGTCATCCTAATGTCTCCCAACTGTGGTGAGGACTTTCCCCGCATTTGAAGTTCCCAACAAACACAACGACAACTCCATGTGAAGCAACAAAGTACATCTATCCTTCCCAAGCTGTCGGGTATGACTACCTCGGAAATTCAAACTACTACGACGCTTTATCATTCGATTCAGTTGATTGATCGAAAGTCTTTGTGCCAACTGCCGTACCGATCATGACGAGTTTCTTCGCGACACGATGCATGCTCGAGCAACTGTGCCCAAATACTATGATGATTTAATTATAAATGCATCAAACATGGCATTACATGATATGCAATATCTGCGCAACTATACATGGATCGTTCGATGCACAATGGCGCAGCAATACCTCTCACGCATGTTAATCGTGCGATATCAAGATGTTGGATGAGGACAATTACGTCCGAACAACTTGACTCGGGGGTTTTGGCCTCTAAGCCTTTGGTTGTCATCGGGCCATTGACAAGAGGCGCTAATAGGAAGTTAAACTCCGGCATATTGACACGAGCATTGGATGTAGGTGTAACCTCCCAGAAACCATCCGAAGAATCGAAAGAATCATTTCCAGATTGGGACAATGTTCCTGGTTTGTTTTTGACAGCTTTGCCACTTCGGCACTTTTATTGCCAAAGCAAGGATTCGAACGACCGAATTCTCACTACTGCTATTGTTACACTCGATGGTTATACTGGAAGACTAACCTGGCTTGATTTTAACGTCATGCCTGACATGCCAAATAAATTATTCTTCTGCAGTTGTTGGTGCCTGGAAAGGGGCAGCATCCCAGGTGTGCGCCATGTGAGCAATTGCATGGTCTGAGGAAAGATTCAGGGAATACTGGAAGTGGAAGAAGAGCCGTCACTCCGCCAGTCCATCTTCTCTGGGTCGCGTTAGATAAAAAGTGGCCTTTTCTCTACGCCTAGCTTTCACAACACTCCGTCAATTGGTAACAGAATGACAAGCTGTATGTTAAGCGCTGAACCGAGTTTCATCTCGTCTCGGTCAGTTAGGGTTGAATCAACGGCGCAACGCTACCTCATTGGGTTGTTTTGGGACCAATTCTGACATCCCCGGCTGGGCGATAATTCACTTTGTTCTCACCCGGTCGATTAAGGACGATATAAACCTTTCAATATGCGAAAGGCGCCATCCCCTCGCATCGGGCCGTGTAACCAATTACATCACTTTTTGGATAGAATACAACGCATATTCTGCCGAACTGGCTCGGGAGGCTTAATATGTAAGTAAGAAGCAACAAATGAAGAGATTAATTTATCACTGTGGAAATGAATCTTCGGGTCGTTAGCTCACTTTGCGACATCTTCATTGATTTTACTGGGGACATTTCTCCTGGGCTTGTGGTAATTTCATCCAGCACGGCCTCGGTCTAAATGAAAATATGTCTCAGAGATCCCTTTAACTCTGCATATGCAGATGGTTATTAGCGGAAATTGCAAAGTCCTTCGGCCCTTGAGGCTCCGATATACACACATCAATGGATTTCCAGCTTTTCGTGTAAATTGGAACCGAGGCCGAATCATCAAAGAAAAAAGAGGGAAGGAAAAAAATCTGCGCAGGGTGGAATGTGATCTGGTAGAATTTTCGCGTTCTACAAAACTTACTTGCCTCAAGGGCTAAAACCCAATGATATTCAGATTCGGCAAATCTCATATCCTGGTATACTCATGTTTCTTTGGCTTCTATGGCTTTCAGGGCAGGCTGGAGAAGATTGGCGACATCTCACGAATCTTGTCAAACCTTGTAGCTGCATCTTTAATATTACTTTGGTTGTAACCCAATTACGGCATAGTTGTCATTTTGGGGTGATCACGAGCTTCCCCACAAGCCACCATCCCCAACATCCCCAGATTCTTACCCCGCCATAAAGAGCATGCAGAATATGCAGAACTTGCAGAGAAAATATGCAGAGTCTACAGAATACATGCGAACCACAAGTTTAGCCAGGCCCGTGGTAGTTTGTACGACTATAGGTCGGACCGGAGAACGGCCGTTACCAAATTCAGAAAATCTTGCTATGTAAGAACATCCTTAAATTTATCTTACACGTGGTAAATTTAAAATCTCCTTCCGTCTTTGTATGGGCTCGCTCGTGGCTTTAGTTGTCAGAATTGCCTTAAATTCTCTTGTCATGATGAATCTAGATTTTTGTTGTATGGGATTGATTTTCCGCTTGGTCGAATTCTGCTCACAAGGCCATTTTTCGGCAGTGACTCGGAGCATTTTATCCAGAATGCCACATCATTGGGCCCGCTTGTTGGATTAATCCGAATCCCAGATTTTCCTAATCCGCATTAAGCACAAGCTAATATCAACCACATCTCATGTTAAATGATCATGAGGCTGGAAATCCTCACATGTTACTGATGGGGTCCGAAATTGTACAAGACGCTCCCGTCGTACAGAAAATCTTGTAAGGAAGCTCGTGATAATGTCCTTGAGAAAGGCCGGAAAATATACAGAAGTGTCTCAATAATGCTCTAACTAATACAGATTAAACTAAGCTCTTACTCTTGCAGCGGCTTCGTCTTCTCCTTTTGGACAAACCACAAAAATGGTGCATCTGGGTACATGTAAGCACACTCAATATTTTGTATATAAATGATCGGTAATTTCCAATTGATCAACCTCAAATCTTCTCTCTATCTCAATTTTTCACTACACAATTCAAGCCTTCATCATGGTGAACTTGATCAAAAGCGTAGTCTTGCTTTCCCTGGTGCTTCAGTCATCATGTATGCAGTTCAAGATACCTCAAGTCGAAAAGGTAGTGACGAAGGTCATGAACAAGTTCGCACCATATGTGCACAACAAAGGAAAGCACTCCGACACGGCAGCCATCTCAGCAAAGGAAGACATGTCCCAGATCATTCCTCGTGCGACCCCTTATTGGTACGAACAAATCTCACATCAAGGAAAATCCGCATGGGGTCCTTCAGGATATCAAGTTTATCGCAACGTGAAAGATTATGGAGCAAAAGGCAAGTTTATCCAGTCACCGAGGGTCCTTGCTAACAATATCTAGGTGATGGTGTGACCGATGATACTGCGGCTATCAATGCGGCTATTAGTGCCGGTGGAAGATGTGGTCAAGGATGTTCCTCGACATCAACTACACCCGCAGTTGTCTATTTCCCATCTGGAACCTACTTGATATCATCATCGATAATAGACTACTACTTCACTCAAATCATCGGTAACCCAAACAGCTTGCCGACTCTTAAAGCCACGCCTAATTTTGTTGGTTTCGGTTTGATCGATGCAAATCCATACTACTCCCCCGTCCTTAATTGGGGCTCCACCAATGTATTCTTGAGGCAAATTCGCAACATAATCTTTGATATGACTAGCATTCCAGCTGCAACCACAGCTACAGGTCTGCATTGGCCAACTTCCCAAGCAACAAGTTTACAAAATGTTGTGTTTCAAATGAGCTCTGCTCCAGGAACTCAACATACTGGTCTCTTCTGTGAAAGTGGTAAGTACAAAAGAAAATCTAGGTAGTTCCATGCTAATGATAGAAAAGGTTCTGCTGGACTTTTGGTTGATGTTACCTTCAACGGCGGTCTTGTTGGTGCTGCCATTGGGAACCAGCAATTTACCATGCGAAACTTGGTTTTTAATAACTGTGTTACAGCTATTAGCATGTTTTGGGATTGGGGATGGTTGTTCCACGGCATCAGCATCAACAATTGTCAAAAAGGAATTGACATATCGGCAGGAGGTTCAAGTGCCCAAAATGTGGGATCTGTTATCTTAATTGACAGCTCAATTACCAACACTCCGATCGGAATCATAACTGCTTACACACCCAATGCGACACCGGACACAGCTGGTAGTCTCATACTTGAAAATGTGGCACTCAGTAATGTTCCCACAGCCGTCACTTTGAGTGGTGGATCGACGATATTAGCTGGTACAAGTGGAAGCACGACCATTGCTGGGTGGGGTCAAGGCCGCCAATATGTTCCTAGCGGTCACTCTGATTTCCAAGGCGCCATCACTCCAAACAGTCGACCCGCATCTCTACTCAGTGGAAACAAATATTACACTCAATCGAAACCTCAGTACAATGGCTTGTCAGTCTCATCATTCACGAGCGCAAGGGCAAATGGTGCAGTTGGAGATGGTATGACCGATGATACCGTTGCATTGCAACGCGGAATCAACAATGCAGCAAGCGCTGGGAATGTCTTTTTCATAGATGCAGGTACTTACAAAGTGACAAGCACAATAACAATTCCTCCTGGTTCAAAAATTGTAGGCGAATCATATTCAACCATCTTGTCAAGTGGCAGTTTCTTCAATAATATGAATAGTCCACAACCCGTCGTACGAGTTGGAACAGCTGGTCAAACGGGACATGTCGAATGGAGTGATTGTTTGGTTTCAACACAAGGCCAACAAGCTGGTGCAACGTTGATCGAATGGAACCTCGCGAATTCCGGTTCAACACCATCTGGAATGTGGGACGTACACACACGAATTGGTGGTTTCACAGGATCGAACCTACAAGTTGCTCAATGCGAGAAAAATCCAGCCACTACCACGATCAATTCGAATTGCATTGCTGCTTATATGGGTATGCATATTACAGCAGGTGCCAGTGGCTTGTACATAGAAAATTCATGGATTTGGACTGCTGATCATGATTTTGATGATCAATCTTTGAGACAACTCGACATCTATGCAGGAAGAGGTCTATATATCGAGAGTACTGCTGGACAAATCTGGCTGTAAGTTTATCTTTCTGGAAATGACATGGAGACTTGCTAACAATTGGCAGTTGGGGTACTGGAGTTGAGCATTTCACTTTGTACCAATATCAATTCGCCAACACAAAGAACATATTTGCTGGTTTTCTCCAGACCGAAACACCGTAAGATTCTTAAACCATTGTTTGTATCATCTTGACTAATAACATTTAGATACTATCAACCACAACCACTTGCCCCGGCACCCTTTAGCCTTGTTTCATCCCTCAATGATCCTAACTTTAGTACCTCTTGTGCGGGTTCTTCCGGCAACTGTGCTGCAGCTTGGGGCTTGAGAATCATCAATTCTCATGACATTCTTATATATGGAGCGGGACTTTACTCATTCTTTGATAATTATTCTACCAGTATGTCTTCTACTAAACTTCACCCTTTACTCTCATGAACCATACCATATGTATGCATACTAAAACCTCACAGCTTGCTCCAACGCCGGTGGCCCCGAAAATTGTCAAAGCAATATTTTCAGTCTCGAAGGCACAATCTCAAATGTCAACATCTACACCTTAGCTACTGTTGGCACCACGAATATGATTACGAGAAATGGACAGAGTCAAGCGGTGTATAGTGCGAATATCAATGTTTATCCTACTTTGATTACATTGTATAAGTCTGGTTAAGTATCTGGCGTCTTTGATGGAGATTCCTTGCGAGTAGTCATGCGAAGATGCAGATTGTATGGGTGTAGGTGTAGGTGTAGGTGATTGAAATTGGAATTGGAATTGATAGTTTGGAGTGAGTAGATTGTAGTTGGAGTCTGGCAGTTGGGTGTGGGTTCGGAGGAAGCGATGTTTTGTTCTTCACGGAAATTTATGTCTATCTATCTTTCTTTTCTGGATAGCATGAATATATATATTCCTTCTTTGGTGGAACTTTTATGGCTCATATGTATACAATGGTTAAATTACTGAATGGGTGATTCGAATTCGTGAATAGCTCCATTCATCCATCTCCTCTCGCCTCTTTTCGCCATCCAACTTTATCTTACCCATCCATCTTCTACCCGCGAAGCCATCCATCCGATCAATCCATCTATAGAGAAATAATGTCTTAAAAATTAAAATCTAGCCAACGCTTCCTCTATTCATAGCCTATCATCTTATCTATCTTTCATACGTGGTGGAAATAACCTTAAATTCCATCACATGTAGATCCCTACATTCGATTCAATCCCTGTCTTATGAGCCTCCTCCGTCATTCCTCATGCGAACCTGGTAATCGTGATGCGGGGTTGCGGCATAGCGGGGACTTATAATCGATATGATGATTTTGAGGTCAGCATACGTAGATAACACATACGGGATGCATTGTTGAAGAGTAAGTGTGGAAATCTTTATTTGTGATTATTGAAATAAAACTGTAGGGGGGGATTATGATGAGGGTAATGGATTTTGATTTAGGTAATGCAAGTAGCAAGTCTGGGTGCCTATAATAGATACTAAAGTATGGCTCTTAATATGTCCTTTTCATCATTTATGTCGCTCACTATAATACTGCAAACCAAGGGTTTAGAGTATCTAATAGTGGTCATTTATTCTAACTTATACGTGTCTACTATATACTCAGAGAAGGAAATCCTCAAACTTCATATATCATATTTGTATTTATCACTGTTGTCTTTACAATTCATCACGTCGCGATATTATTTTGATTTATTTTAGTTAATTGTATTTTTTTTTGTTTTTTTGTAAGGGGATTTGAAATTGTAAGGGGATTTGACATGAGGAAGTTTGACATGAGAGAATTTGACAAAAGGAAATAGATTCGAGAGAGATTCGAAAGAGATATAAAGTAAGGAAATTCAAGTACGAGTAAACAAATAGATAGAAATAAGAAATAAAAAAACCTACCTCTTACCCACCTAAATCTAAACCGTTCCGAACCCTCCCTCATCACCTCTCTGCCAACTATTTTCCGGCTCCGGGGCCGCTCTAGTTGTATCTTCCTCTTCTCCCTCCTCTTCTTCTTCCTCTTCTTCTTCCTCCTCCTCCTCTTCTTCCTCCTCTTCCTCCTCCTCCTCTTCATCCTTCCTCTTCTTCTCCGCAGCCTCCTCTCTTGCCTTCAAAATCTTCGCAATAGCAAACTCCATCCTCCTCTTCTTCTCCGCCTCTATCCGCTCCATTTCCTTCTCCATCTCCTCCTCCTCCTCCTCCTCCAACTTTCTCCTCGCTCTCTCATCCGCCTCAAATATATCCCTAAACCTCCTTCTCTCCGCTATCCTCGGATCTCTAGCCGGTACAATCGCATTCGGATCCGTCTCGGGACCGAACACCACCTCCCCGGGACTAACATCCTCCTCGACCTGCACCTGAGTTCTCACAGCCGCCGAAAAAGGATTCTGCACACCCTCCGGCTCATACAGATACTGAGAATCACCTCTCCGCCAGAGCTCCAGCATCTCCAGCGCCGTCAGCGCAACACCCTCATCGGAACTCGCCGCCAATCTTTCCAGTCTCACAATCTCCCCTTCGGCGAGTTGGCCGCGCCACCAGCGATCTTCGGCCGCTTCGAATTCCTCAACGTTGTGCGCGCGCGCGGGAAAAAGTCCTTGGAGTTTCGTCCCGCGGTTGCGATGATCGATGGTGAAATTATATCCCAAGAGACGTTTTTTGATGGTCGGCGACACTTCGTAGAATTGGCGGCCGCGCAGCATGCGTGCGAGGCCTGCGGAGCGAGTGAGTAGCTCGTGGTCCTCGCTCCAGGGTTCGCCGATGGTGCTTTCGAGGGCGTCTGTTAGGGCGGCGGCGTAGTACTCGTTGATGAAGGGGACGGGGCCCGGGTACGGGTTGCGATTAGGATCCATTCCTGCGCCTGAAGGGGCGTATTCGAGGAAGGGGGTAGAGGGCGCGCGGAAGAGGCGGTGGAAGGGACGTCCGAGGAAGTTGGATGTGTTGGGGGCGAGGGCTTCGATTTCTTCAGGGGTGGTTCCTTGAAGGAGATGCGAGTGTTGGTCTTGAGTGCGTTTGGTGAATTTGACAGCGCCGGGGAGAGCGCGGAGAGGAGGATGACGAACCGGTTTTGAGATATCCAATCCCGGGTTTGAGATTACGGATTAATTCTTCCTGGCGTGTTTGCTCTTCCGCACGTTTCCTCTCTTCTTCGAGGACTTTCGTCTCTTCGCTTATCTCTTCTCCATCTACGCCTCTCCATCCCTCTGGCTTCCACAATTCTTCTTCCTGCGGCCCCAAGTCCGTAAACTCGGGTTTGGAGCCCGCGCTTCTATCGCTCGGGTCTCTCTCGCTTCCGATATCCATGCTACTCTTTTTTCTATTTTTTTCCACCTTCTCTTCAAACGCTCGTTTTCTCTCCTCTTCCTTCTTCACCGCCTCTGCTTTCCCTCTCTTATTTTCCTCCTCCCAAAATTTCGCCGTAAACGCGCGAGCCTTGGCGGCTTCGCGTTCATAGTGAGATAAAGTGGGGGAAACCGATTCGGTGCTAGAATTAGTACTTGAAGAGGAAGAAGAAGAAGGGACTCGGAATCCGGTGTGCGGGGTGGGAGTAGGTTTCGGTTTCGAGGTAGTGGTATCTGGTTCCGCGACATCTGGTTTCTCGGGGGAAACATCAGAAATGGGTATCTCGATTGCCACTCCAGGGTTCGGACGCGTAGGAAAAGATTCTGGAGAGTCGGATTTTTTGCTAGATGGTTTTGCTGATGAGGGTTCGGGTGGGGGTTGGGGATGACTTACCTTTGTGGAAGGAGAAAAAGAAGGATCGGAAAATCCGACGTCGATGTCGAGTTGTGATAGATCAATTGGTGTTGCTACCACAGCTTCTGGTTTCTTCTCTTCAGGTTTCTCAACCGGTTTTTCGAGAGTAATAGGATTAGGATTGAAAGGATCGAAACGACTGGATTTCGAACCCGAAGATGATTTTGGTGAAGGTGAAGATTGATCGTCTTCTCCATTATCATTATCATCATTATTATCGTCGTTGTCGTTATCATTATGATCCTCATCAATAGGTATAACATACTCGCTCGGAGCCTGCGTATACCAATGATTATAAGCTCCATTTTCCAACCACCTACCTTTTCTATTCTCATAGTACAGTGCTGGGCCCTCTAGTTTCAAAACTCTCAGTAAATCCACCAAGCCACACCACTCCTCTCCAAAAACAGGTCTATACATAACCCCACCGGGTTCATATCTTCCTCTCCCAGTAATCCTCTGATTCCTCTCCCCTCTCTCCCATTTCTCCCCCTTAACTCTCGAAAGCAACTCCCCAAACCCCCAAGGGTCAGGACTCCTCGAGTACTCAACCAACCCCACCAAAACCCTCACCCAATTCCCCACAACCTCCGCATCCAACGACGCCTCATGTCCGCGAAACTCGATCGTATCCGGTAAAACCCTGTCGCGCGGTCTCGTCTCCGTTCCCATGCGATCAAAATTCCACGCCGTCTTATGTCCCACAAACGAATGCGCACCTGCGGCCCCCTCACTCGCTACACACGTACGAAAAGCATCTCTGCTTTCGCACGCTAGCAGCGTCGCGATGGTTTTGAGCACGCGCGGGGATCGATTTAAAATCCTGCTTGTATTTCCACTGGAAATACGTGTTTCCGCGGAAAGAGACACAATGATCGTTTCGGGAATCGATACGATGTTCCGGATGAATGGAATCGAATTGCGGTTCGAAGGCTTGGATCATAGCGCCCAGACGACGGAGGTGCGGGAGGGTAAATCCCTGCGTTCCGTAGCCGACGTGGACGTGAAGACCGCATGATTTGTTGACGGTGACGAGGGTAGTTTTTGCGCATGATTTTACAGAAATCGGCAATGTCCTCGGAGCGCATCTTCGCAGTAGTAGTATGCGGGAGTGCGGACTTCGATGGGGTAATAGGTGTAAGCTTGCCAATCGGCGTAGGCTTTTTTGTGGCGATGATGAGGGGGTTTGGGAGGCGTGATGGAGCCGTCTCGAGTTATTTCCCACATGGCGAAATTGGAATGGGCTTTTTCGGGCTCGGTGGGGAGACCAATGGAGGTGAGAGTGCGTTTGATGTGGTGCGTAGATGGACCATTCGTTGGCCCAGTTTTCTTTTCCGACGGGGATTTGGAAGTAGGCTGGTGCGTTATCTTGGGGGGTCGAGGGGAAGTAGACGGTCCGTGGATCAGAGGGGTTGGGGTTTTCGATAGAGGGTTTAGCGAGAACGGCGATGAGGAATTCGAATTCGATTCCAAAGGAGGGGGTGTCGGGTGACACCGGGGTCTTCTTGGGGACGTGTACGATATTCATTTTTGCTTTGTTTATATATCTCTATATATGTGTATGTTTTGTAGTGATCAATCTATTGATCGTGTATATCTATACCTAGTGTAATGTGAGTAGATGAACTAGAATGTGAACTTACTAGTACGAATTGTAAAATGTAGAATAGACCAGCTACTGGAAATTTTAGTTATAGTGTTTAGATATCAGTTCGATTGATAGAAAGATATAATAGAATGACTGTTGTGGAGTTTTCCTGAATTCTTGAGTGAAGGAAGGGGGACAGTGAGAGCTTAAGTACTCGAATAAAGATGATGAAGACAATGGTTTGTGAAGAGGGTAAAGAGATGAATGAAGGTTGAAAGAGAGAGAAAACGAGATGAAAGATAGATAAATATTCCTTGTTGATAGACAAAGGTATTAGTAGGAAGAAGATCTATCACTCACTAGAGGAAGATGGATAACTTCTATTGTCAATGGACAAAGACATCAACCAAAGAATTCAATCTTGCTCATCAATCCCTTTTAAAGAGACAATAAATCCGGGAAGAAATCACCCAACTTATCGAAAATGAAACTATTCCAACCAAACCTTCAAATCTCTCTTCATCCCCCACAAACAAATACTCATCCCTCTTTCCCTTCTCGCTTCACTTCCCGCATCCTGATTCATCAAACAACTCAACTCCATCCCACACCAAACAATCTCCCATCTCTTCAGCAACTTCCCCACAAACAACCCCCACATTCAATTCTTCTTCCCCAAGAATTCCTTCCCGAAATCAATTCAGATCCGTTCCCTCCATCTCCATCCAATCTCTCCCATCCCCAATCCAATACCGATCAAAACCTGCATAACAAACTCCCAACATTTAATCCAACTCCTCACAAATAATTCTCATTCCTTTTGAATCCTCTCCTTAACCTATCACAATCATTCAATCATTCAATATTTAAAACCACGAAATATTTCAACCCTACCCCGCAGCTCCTCCCGCCCTCTCCCTCCTCTCCCTCGCCTCCTCCCTCTCTCCCGCTCGCCCGCTCTCCTCTCTCCCTCTCCCTCTCCTCCTCGCGCCCCTCTCTCCCTCTCGCCCTCTCGCCCTCCGCATTCCCCTCCCCCCCCTTCCTTCCTTCCCAATTCCCTCAACCCCTTAAGAATCGCGCAAAACTAATAACCCAATAACCCAATAATCGAACAACCAAGAAACTCACAACAAACCACTCCCATAATCAAACCACACCTTCATCTTCCCTTTCCTTCCCTCATCTCCTTCCCTCATTCCCTACCCCTCATTCCCCATCTCTCCATCTCTCAATCCCTAATACCTCCATCCCTAATAACTCAAAACTCACAAACAATCTCCATCTCTTCAACAACTCCGCACAAACAACCCCTCATATTCGATTCTCCTCCTTTCCTTTCCTTTCCTTTCCTTTTCCTTTCCTTTCCTTTCCTTTCCTTTCCTTTCCTTTCCTTTCCTTTCCTTTTCCTTTCCTTTCCTTTCCTTTCCTTCCTTTCCTTTCCTTTCTTTCCTTCCTCCTTTTCCTTTCCTTTCCTTTCCTTTCCTTTCCTTTCCTTTCCTTTCCTTTCCTTTCCTTTCCCTTCCTTTCCCTTCCTTTCCTTTTCTTCCCGGCTCTAACTTTCGCCCTTTTCTCTTTTATCTTAATCATATCCTTGTCTTCCCTTCCCTTCCCTTCCCAAATCCATCTATCTAGTTCTTAGCCCTAGCTCTCAAAATCCACAACTCAACAACTCAACAACGTCCCGCAGGCCCTCAGTCCCCTCATCCCCTCATCTTCCCTCACTCCCTCATTTCCTCATTCTTTCATTTCCTTATTTCATCTTCCCTCACTCCCTCATTCCCTCACTCCCTATCCCCCAAAATCCAACAACTCACAACTCACAACTCACAACTCACAACTCACAGCTCACAGCTCACAACTCACAGCTCACAGCTCACAGCTCCTCTCCCTCTCCCTCTCCCTTCCAACAACCAAACCAAACCTCAAACCCAAACCCAACCCAAACCCAACCTCAAATCCAACCTCAAACCCACCGCTCTATATATATACACACACATATATATACACATAAATACATAAATACCAAAACATCCACCTCCCCCTCCACCTCCCTCTCCCCCTCCCTCTCCCCTCCCAGCTCCCTCAAGAATCAATCATTTCATGACACCAAACTACAACTCTCCCATTCTCCCATCCTCACCTTCCCACCCCCCATTCTGTCATCCCATTCTCCCATCCTCCCATTCTCCAACCCTCCAATCAAAGAAAATATCAAAACCCATCCATCCATCCATTCATCCATCCATTCATCTATCCATCCATCCATCCATCCATCCATCCATCCATCTATTCATTCATTTATTCAAAACATACCTAGATAGATAGTAAAATCCAATTTGACTCCCTACCTACCCTACCTACCTACGGAATCATACATATCTGTATATATGATATGTATATGGATATACATATAAATCCTTAATGGTAATTGTAATGGTAATTATCAATGGTAATTGAAACAGTATACCCCGTTAACCTAACTCTTCCTCCCCTTCACTCACATAATGTCTGTGAGGATAGCTTGTCTAAGAACAAAGAAACCAATAGAAAGCATATCTCGAGATTTCATTGAGATTTTGCTGAAACACTTGTTTGCCGCCATCATCACAATCCCACATTGATCCCTCGTAGAATAAACAAAATATAATCTCACTCAAAGCAAAAGATAATCAAAAGTTTTCTGACACGCACAATCGCATTATTGTATATACTATGCTATGCTACGCCAGTATATGAATATGGTATGTAGTGAAGTCGAGCTCAATCAGCTACCATTCTCCAATCTCATCTCAATCATTAATCATCCCCCCTTGACCGTTATTAAAATATCTGCTATAATAAAACCAGCAGCTCAGCCACTTCACACATGCCTTCGAAGACATTTAATGGATATACATCGATGTAGAAACGTGAAAACCACGAGCCATAAACACCAATGCTAATCAGAAAAAGAAAAGGGACAACAAAAACACGCGCTAAAAACAAAAACAATGAGGTGGAAGCGTAAAAATTATACACATAATCACCATCGGATGATTCAAAAAAATCTCATGCTCTTTGTAAAGATACAAAGATTATGGTCATTATTCCCAAATCTATCGTCCGAACTTCCTTTTTAAAGCATCAGACCAAAGACAGCAGCAACACCTGCCGCGAAGATACCGGTACCATATTCACTACCAATGTTCAAAGCTGAGGCGGCGGCAGAAGAGGTAGCGGCGGCAGAAGCGCTGGTAGCGGATGCAGCGGAAGTACTAGTGGCGGTTGCAGAGGTGGTCGAACTTGCGGAAGTGGTGGCAGGGGCGGTGTAGTTATCTGGATCCAATTGACCGCAATTCTTTGCTTCGGTCTCCCTGCAAAGCTTTTGAGCGGCGGCATCGTTCTCACCTGCGGCAATGCAGTTGGCGAAAACGGTTTCGCAAATGTAGGTTGGCATGGTTTGTTTGTAGTATTGAAGACCTGGAGTGGATCCGTTGGAAGAACATGTGCAGGTGTAGTTCAAGGAATCCTGAAAAGAATGTCAAGTCAGTATGTGTGAATCATTCAACTGAAGATCGAGCAAGAATTCTAGTAAGAATGAATTTTACTTACAGTGTCACAGGAATTGGCATCGACTGCACCACTACATAAAGTGCCACAAGTGTTGATCTCGGCGGTACACCATTGAGCTGTGGTTTGTTATCAGTATACCTTAATTCTTCATGGCATAGATCACAAGAGAACATACATCTGGTAACGGCGTCAATAGAGCTTGGTGGAATAGTATCGTTGGAAGATTGAGCTGCAACGAGAGCAACGATGCTAAGACCGACGATTGACTTGATAAACATCTTGGTGGAAGGTGGTGGGATTTTGTTGAGAGTGAAGAAAGTTGATTATTAAGTATTCGTGGAAGGGTTGAAGATGGAGAGATTGAAGTTATTCGGAGATCTTTTTATTGGACGATGATGGGGAGAGAATATGGATTGTTGAGATTTGTTAGAAAAAGATGGAGGAGGAGGAAGGGAACAGGAACAGGAAGAGGAATTGGCGATAGAATTTATTATTTATTAATCGATTAATTAGAGAAGGTGGTTGGGGTGCAGTATTTGATTTTAGAATTTATCGTGAAAATGTATTGGCCACTGGCTCGCGTGGTAGGAAATGCAAAGAGGTGAGTGAAAGTGAATAAAAGTATCTAGTACCCTCTACCTAGTCGTAATTTATTAGGCAAGTACTAGGCAAAAGTACTAGGCAAAAGTACTAGGCAAAAGTACCAATGGCAAAATTCAAAAGGCAAAAAGATCCCAAAGAGGTTACCATCGAAGAATACCAGGTGGAAAGCGGGAAAGCCATGATCGCATTGGGTTAGACGGTGGATCCATTGGTGAGGTGAGGACGAATCAATGGACTATATCAGACGACTAACTGAGATAAGGTTAGCTCGTCAATCTATCCGGATTCTCTCCACGTCAATCCTTGCTCATGTATTGCATTAGTTTGAGTGGTTGGAGTGGTTGGACTGTTTTTTGCTGTTGACTTTGATGATTTTGATGACTTGAATGACTTTTGGTACCTGTCTGGCGTACCAGATATGTTGCCAAGCTTATCTCCTACTAGGTACGGTCACACGTTCTTCACCTTTGATCCAATCAGCCAATCAACCAATGAGAGATGAAACTCGTATTGTTGTCATTGTTGTCATTGTTGTCATTGTCGTCGCTGGCTTGAGATTTTTAATATTACTGGTACGACCTGGGTAGGTCGGTACGGGTAGGTCGGTACGGGTACGGAGTACACACTTTCTTGACTTGTGAGTCTCCTTTCTCGTATTTTGTTTGACCTTACTCTCGTCGTCGTCGTCGTCGTCTTCTCTATTACTAATACCTACCTAGTTATATCTTCTTTTTCGGTACCGACTTATTCAATACTACTAGGTAATAGATACTATCAAAGTTACAATTAAGTACACAATAATATATAATACTCCCCCTCATCTCATTCCTTTTTTTTCATCAAGGGGGTTCATTCTTGGTACTAAACTCAATTGAGTATTGCCTTCGGAGCAAAATGGTAAAATGGAGTCTTGAGATCCGTGACCTGGTCAAAAATGAAATTACTTTGCAACTTTTTCTTTCCTTTCTTGAAGTTTCTTCCCTTTCTTCCCTTTCTTCCCTTTCCTCCGTTCACTTCATCCACCCTTCATCCACCCTTCTCTACCCTTCCCTTCCCTTCCCTTCCCTTCCCTTCCTCCCCCTTCCTCCCCCTTCCTCCCTTCTTATCGCATTTTTATCACTTAAAATTCCCATCGCAACCAAATCGTTCCTGATTTGAGACGCTAAAAAGCTTGTTCTTTTCATTCTACAAGGATTCAATTGATTGCCCGTATGAGTTAAAGTGGACTGACTGATTGGAACATGAACAACCCAAGTCCATCTAGTATCTACTTTCCACCTAATAAGTCATTTTTCCTTCCATTCTTATCGGAAATGATTAATCGCCCGCCCTAAAAAGCGTTTGGTCTTACCAGCATTTCTTCCTCTCTCGATTGAAGTCGTTGGTGTTTGATGTTTGATGAATGTGAAATGGTAAGTGAGTGAGTGAGTGAGTGAGTGAGTGAGTGATCAGCTTGATGACGCTCCGCTGGGCCACTGCCGTGGAGGCTTCTTCGCTTCGCTCTGATGATCGGATCTGATAGAATCTGTACTCTGTATTCAGCATCGTCTCAGCATCCATGGTGATTGGTTCAAGAGCAATATGTACCTTGATTGTATTTTCACTGAAGCAACCGGGAAGCTGCTCACGGTAATTGTGGCTACTCGACGCTAATATAGATTGGGTTAGATGGAAATTATCCACTTCTTCGCGACAGTTACACCTTTTTCTCTGTTTACATCCGAGATCTCTTCAAAGGTACAACACAAGACTCTAGTAAGTACAAAGTCAAAGTCAAAGTCACAAAGGGTACAAATCAATGCACAAAGGGATGCAATGTCATCAAATACGACCCTTCCTTATTTTGTTATCAGTGAATGGGAATGGGAATTCTTCAAATATCTTTACAGTATTTACGTTATCAAATACATGATATAATCCCTAGTATAATTCATGGTCCTCTGCTGTCTTCTCTCTATTTTATGCTACCCTAGTACCTATCGAAACATTGTGTACCATCGCTTCTTCAAACTCCTTCCCTTTGAAGCTCCTGCTGCTCCACCCAAGCTTCACTTCTTCACAAACATCATGCTTTCCTTCATTTCTAGCCAATACCCGTTTCTCCTTTTCCTTACACGGTTAACTTAACGCTCGCCAAATCTACACCGATCGTCAAACAATCTGCATAACAATATCATTCATCTCAAACCATCCAAGCTATCCTAAGAAACCTCTTTCAAGTTCACGGACTACTATTTTCTTTTCCTCCGAATCAAGAAGCTCGTCCCAATTGACTAAAAGGCTAGCTCAACGGACCATTTCCGTTTAGCTGGATACCATCTTAGTTTCGTCGGGCTCTTCCTCAAGACTTACAGTCACAGACTCACCACTGACCACTTTACTGTGTCTCTATGACAGAAAAACAATGGTAACGATTGAAAATTAGCGACACTTGGTTTTTTTGTTCGGGACCGGTAGCTCCGGATGTTCGGCGTAATCTTCGTTCATTCGTCAACGGTGAGTCAAAAATGTTGAACTCCTCGATAGAGACGAACGAGTGCCAAGACCCACATGTGATCTACGAACACATGATTAGGAGGTTTTTGAAATTGAAATTGCCTTTTGGCGATGAGCAAAGCTCTTGGGCATCATTTCAATCTTGAAAGTGTTTTGGAATTGGAGACTTTGTTCTTCTCATTCATCTTGACTGTCCTTCAATTATACCTCGGGCTCGTGTGGACCTGAGTACGAGGTATTAATTTGAGTGAACTCAATTTCTAGCGAGGCCTCTTTCTTAGACAAGTTCAAGTATCAAGGGGGAGTCTCCTGAATTCTTACAACTTATCCCATTGACTGACTTAAGGTCACGTATGAATGAGAGCACCAAATTAAGAAGTTTCGCCTGAAATGACTCAAGCACAGGTCAAGGTCTCCTTATCATACGAAGAGTTAATAGCCAAGGGTAATCAATAAAGAAGTCTCCTGAGCAGTTGGTCCAAATAAGTTTTTATACTCAGATCACTTTGCTTCCACTCCTATTCTTCGCTTTCTCCTGGCAAGTCATATTCTCAGTACGCCTCCTGTATTCGCAGTTTTCTTTTCACAAAGTTACCCCCATACCATTCAAATTACAACACCGCACCCTCTTAACTCCTTTCTCAACAATTCCCAGCAAGGTATCATTCAAAGATGTTCATTCGAAAATTCCTAGAACAACTTTGTCTTTGGCTAAATAATCTTATTTGACCTGGTGAATATATTCGGCTTTGTGGTATTGTTCCCAACTTTGTTATTCACTGCTGCACTAATTTTGGTTTCAATATTATTTGCGAGATTTGTCAAATCCCATTCTATCTTGCTGTCTGAAGATGGCGGCTGCATGGGTGGACGGACGTAGGGGTGAACAGCAAAGAAAACCGGAGACGCAGAGGGAAGGGAAAATGTTAGAAGAGGGATTTAGGACTGCAAAATGAGTTGATTGCGGGGAGGGATGCACGATCGTTTGTTTGGTTTTACTCGAACCGAAATCCGAAGATAGCCTGATTGAGACCAATGATGTGTAGTTCATCTCCTTGGTGTGATTGTTGTGAACGAGTGTTTCACTCTGCATCTCAACGTCTATTGCTTTTGTGTTCGAAGTGTCTTGTCTTTTGTTGTCAATCATGGGTCGATCATCCTTGATTTGTCGAGAGTTTTCGAGATGGTCAATTGTGATATTCATTGAGTTTATCATGATTTGATCCTTCAAAGTCGTCATTTCACATCCGGCTCGCAATCCGAACCACATCCCCCTTTGCCCACCGCGATATAATAATCTTCCAATTGCGCGAAACAGTCACTGGATTCAGACATTATATTATCGGTCATATTTTGAACCTCCCTTCCGAAAGACCTTCATTGTAAAGCCATCATGTTCTTCGTTGGCAATGAAGTCTACCATCTCGATGTTAGATGAGGCCGATGTTATGATTGTTTCGTGATCTACGATTTTCCTCAGAGCTGACGAATTGGGATTTTCTCTCAATATGCGACAGAAACCTACCTCTTTCCTTTTCGTCATTATATGACGATGGGAAAACCATCAAATTGATCTTCAGCAGTCCGGCACATCGTTTATCTCTTTTTGTCAATCGCAAATTCTCTGTTTCTTAAGAAAATTATGCGATGCTTTTAGTCAGGGATGAAAATACTGGTCGGATAACAATTGCGACCAATTTAATGAAAAGAAGTCTGCCGCGTGTGCCATTAATCACAAGTTTATGCATCATTAAGCCGCTATCTAGCACTACCTAGGTGAGGTTCCCCACACACTAACATTCTTTCCCCAGATTGGCATAACTGAAACATGTTTATATCAACACATACCTTGTGCGTATTAACCTTTTGTTCTTAATATATGAAAGATCATGTTGTCTAGGCGATTATGGACAAGGGTTGAGGAGGGGATGAAGGAAGGGCGAGGCGAAAGAGAAAGACCAAGAGCAAAGCTCTGATCATAGTTGAACTGCCAAACTTCAAGTAGGTATTGGCACTAACTATTTGCACCTACGAGTTACCCACTTCGAATAAGTTGACATTTTGACAGTTGCCCAATGACGATACTGCGGGGAGAACTTGTCATTGCTTTTATATTGCGGCACATGCTATCTAGAGTATCATGAACAGGAGGTGAAAGAAAGGAGACGAAATAGGAAAGGGAGAGAAAGGCTTTGGTTAAGGAGGATACGATGCTTTTCGTCAACTATCTGGAAGAAAATAATTCCCCCGAGGTTGATAAAATTTCGAAGTATGTACACCCATATATTTCCTGCGCTTTCATCAAATTAACAAATTTGACAACTTTTGATTGTTTGTACGGTTTGACAGTCCTTTTTTCTGGTTAATTGAAGAGAGTCGCTTCTGACAGGGGAGAGGAGGGATTTATAATCCGTGATTTTCAAACGCTCAACCGCAGCTCGGAAGCCGACTTCCGTCTTCAATGTCAATCGCCAATGAAGATGTAAGAATTAAAGCTTAATTCATCAATCCATGTTCATCATAGTTTTGCACCGATAACACACGGACTGACTTTACGATTTCTTTGGTACTCGTATCGAAACTCTACTTCATAACTAGACAACAGTATTTCTTACTCTCATGAGCTTCTTCACACTAGTATTTTGGTGCTAAATATATTAGTCACTAATTCAATTGATAGAATCTTAATATTATTGTCGAGTAGTGCTATGAAGATGATATAAGCATTCTTTCTTCAACTATCTTATCTTCACATCCAAACAGAAAACATGATTCGGACCTCCGATCTCATCATCGAACGGACCCCGCCATTACCGCAAACGAACGATAATGAGACGGTGAAAGATGGGAAAGAAATGGATTATTCTCAAGAATCCACTTCAATTAATTACACCATTGAAGAAGAAAAGAAAAAGAGATTCTCTATGATTAAGGAGAATAGGATCATGAAGTTTTGTTGGAGTGTGGTTACTTATACGCCGAAGAGATGTCGATATGATGTAGATGACCCGCCAAAATTCAGTTTGTGGATGAATTTGCTTTTTGCTTTTGTGAGTTTTTCTTCTTGATTTCTCAATGAGAGCTTATGGTCTTGTAATCTTGCTGATACATTTTTCATAGGCGTGTACTTTCACGGTGGCAAATCTTTATTATAGTCACCCTATCCTCAATATCCTAGCGGCCGAATTCAATGTCACCAATGAACGTGTATCAATTATTCCTACGGTAATGCAAGCAGGCTATGCATCTGGACTGTTGCTTCTATGTCCTCTGGGAGACATCTTCAAGAGACGTGCATTTGTACTATCATTGGTATTTTTTACTGCGACTCTGGTACGTTTACTTGAAAAGACTTTTATAAATAATCTTCATAATGAGGAATGAATTCTCAATGTGCTCTTATGCTGAGGTTAATCATAATAGTGGCTTGGTTTATGCATCACCAACTCGTTTCCCGTGTTTGTTGGAATATCTTTCATCACAGCACTTACTACGGTTACTCCACAACTTATGCTTCCTTTAGTAGGGGATCTAGCACCGCCAAATCGTAGAGCAACTTGTTTGGCTATTGTTTCTTCTGGTCTACTACTTGGTTTGCTGATCGCTCGTTTACTTTCGGGTATTCTGACACAATATACTACTTGGCGAACCATCTATGTAGGATCCCCTCCCACACATCGCTTATCGTATTCACTAACAATCCCTCAGTGGTTTTCCTTCGGCGTCCAATATCTCATCTTCATCCTTCTCTTTCTTTTTATGCCAGATTACCCAAGCACCAACCCCGGATCTTTCAACTATTTCTCCCACCTACTAAGTATCCTCCGCTTACTCTTCAAACACCCCCTCCTAGTCCAAGCATCTCTCATCGGCTTCTGCACCTCTACAATCTTCACCTCTTACTGGACAACCCTCACATTCCTCCTCTCCTCCCCTCCCTACTCCTTCTCCCCCGTTCCCATTGGTCTCTTCGCCCTCATCGGCATCGCCACCTTCATCCTCGGCCCCATCTACTCCCGTCTCATCATCGATAAATTCATCCCCCTCTTCAGCGTCATCCTCGGTCTCCTCTACTGTCTCATCGGCGTCGTCATCGGTACTTATATTGGCGAATTCACCCTCGCGGGTCCGATTCTCCAAGCCATCTTCATGGATCTCGGGATCCAGACAGCGCAGATTGCAAATCGGAGCGCCATTTATGAGATTGATCCAAAGGCGAGGAATAGAGTTAATACGGCGTATATGGTGATGGTTTTTTTGGGGCAGTTTGACTGGGACGGCGGTGGGGAATCGCTTGTATGCGAGAGGAGGCTGGGTGGTGAGTGGGAGTGCGGGGGTGGGGTTTGTGGGGGTGGGACTGGGAGTTTGTTTTTTTGAGGGGGCCGTGGGAGAAGGGGTGGGTGGGGTGGAGAGGGGGGTGGGGGGTTCGGAGGAGGGATTTGGGGATTGAGGGAGAGGAGAAGAGAGGGGAGGAGTGGGGAGGAGTGAAGGGGAATGCTGATGAGGGGGTTTTGGAGATGGGGATTGGTGAATGGAATGGAGAAGTTGGTGTTGTGTCCTCTCGGGTGAGTTCTGTACGGGAATCGAAAGTTGGGAGTTTGAGAGTTTGAGAGGTGAGGGGAATCGGATAGGCAGAAGTCTAGTTAGTGTCTTTATTGCTTGTTTCTTGAATATCAAGATAAGATACTTGATGTCTCGAAGTCCTGAGATTGAGACTGAGACTGAGGCTGAGGCTGATACTGAGACTGGATTATATGTATGGATGGATCTTTAAATTTTATTCGATATAATTCGATATGATATGATATGATACAATATAATATGATAAGATACTCATCAACGAGGCGAAATGAGGGATGTAGAGTAGAGTAGGGTAGAGTAGAATGGAATAATATCTGAGATTTGATGATGATGATGAGGATGAGTATTTAGTATATATCTAGTATTAGACACCTAGGTAGATATATCCGTGATGGTGAAATTAGAGGGGATTGTATGTATGTATGTATGTATGTATGTATGTATGTATGTATGTGTATATATACCTATGAAAAATTGATTTAACATCTTCAAGTGTTTAATTCAACATTTTTGAATTATTTGAAACATATTGGAAAATGTTTTAATTATACTTTATTTGTTAAGTAATTATTTATTTTTTAGTAATCTTATACTTTTATTAAATTTATTTAGTAAATAATTTTAAAAAAATTATTTAAATATATTTTTAGGAGGCTATAATAGTTTTAGTTTTATATTTATTATATATCTGTTTTGATAATTATATTCATTTTAGGTTGGATTATGTATTATAGGAGTATTGTAATTATTATATATGATTGTTATTCTTTATATAAGAGATAGATATTAGGAAATGTAAATATATTATATTACGAGCATCGATGTGAGATCGGCATCGAGCAACCATTATTCCGAAACTGAAAAGTTTTCATATAACGTAGTTTATCAGTGCGTGTACCATATCAGTACGTGCACCACTCATTTTACATACAAAATTCGTCTGTGCATAACCGTGCACTTTCTTTATTTATTAATATAATTTAATTTTTCTTAAAAAACTTTATAGTTATTTATATAAACAATAAGAATTTCTAATCAATTATTAGAAATTTGATTTAATATAATAGTTATTTTAAAAAAAGTTTTTTTGTAACGAAAATCGTGACAATTTCAATCTTTCTTAAAATATAATGAAAATATTTATATAAAAATTATATTTCTGAATATTTGAATTATAATTTTTATCAAATATTTTCTTCTTTTCGAAAATAATGATTAATTATTAAAATACAAATATTAAAAAAACCCTGATTTTAGTATAATTTTGAAGTGGTGCACGTACTGATATGGTGCACGCACTGATAAACTACGTTATGTATAGCTTCGAAAAGAGGTTTTGAAGGAATTAATGAAAAGTCCTATAATTTATCTGCACCTATTATATACTAGTCTTCACCTTACATTGACTCTAACATATTGATGTGAAATACGAGCGGTTTTGCGCACAGACCTCATGTTGACTGATATCTTTCCAAGAATGTTAGAATTGACAACTATCGATACCTAGGTACGGACGACACTTCATTCCATCTTCATCAATCTTCCGCCGGCGATCAGTTTTGACAAACTGCTTATTGCTGGTCAATAGAATGGCCCGATACAAGTCGATGCTTGTGGAAGAGTGCGCCCACTCTTGAGGATAATGGTCGTTATGGAAAGCTTACATAAAACCCACAACTCCACATGTTGGTTCTGACAAGATGGATAAGTCGGGTACCCCACTTTCGGGCCACCCCTCTTTTGGGCCACCTTAAAAATTCATATTATATAGTTTTAAAATATCATTTATTCAACAATTACTCGGCATTATAATAAATACTTAAGACTACACTTTTATTATCATTATTAGTATTTCCTATATCAATTTTACAATCTCCCGCTGCAATTTGTGTTTTTCTAATCTCTTTAATTTTAGAAAACTTTGAATTTGAATTAGTTTTCATTTTGTGTTTTTTTTTAGAAACGATTTACTTTAATTGATGTTTTAATTGCTTTATTCGATATTCAGATTGCAGAATTTCATAATCTTTAATGTCAAATTCCTTAATAATTTTTCTAAAAGTTGGTGGCGAGTATAGAGATCGATCTCTTCGCTTTGAAGGAATATATACGAATATGATTTTAAATCATTAGTTTTTCAAGGTATTTTAAAAGTTGAAATTGTGGATTCCTTATTTTATTGATGTACAGGATTATTATCAGAATATAAATTCTGATTCATAACTTCCTTATTGCTATTCTCAAGCAACAATCTGGATATAATAGGCTTAGTGTGGTTTAGAGGTTATAAATCTAAAGCTTTCTATTTAGATAGTATATTATATTCTGTTAAACTATCCAGTCATGCTTTCTGATAGTATATAAGGAAATTAGTCTTTCCAATTGCTTTAGAATTTGATAAAGAAGTCAATTTATTAAGGTAATGCCTGTATATTCTTTTGAGAGATGAGAATATGAATAAATCAAAAGGCTGTAGGATGTGTGATATATATATGGTGGAAGGAATAAGAGGTGTATATTGTGCTTAAAGCATTTATATATAAATTCAGTAGTTTTATGATTTCTATGCTTATTCAATATAAGGAGTTTTGACTTATCCGGTGAGGGGGGGGCTATCTAAAATATAAAGACCTTTTTAAGTTATTCTAGGGCAATATCATTTGTAGTCCATTTATTATCTATAACAATAAAATGCTATTCTTTATAAAGCTTTAAATCAACCAGAAACCATTATTGTTATACTGATTTTCCCTTCAATATAATAAAAAGATCAAGAGCTCTCCCTATAGCTGAGATGCACTCTATAAGTGATATCCAAGCTCTAAAACTAGGCTCCTTTTTCTGAATAAAACGATATTCTGAGCTTCCTAGAATTAGTCCATTTAGTTCCTGGTCTTTTTGTATATCTGCTTTATCCATATTATATTAGTGCTGAGGTTTAATATAACAAATTGAAGACAAATCCAACTTTAGGAATTATTACTAATAATATTGATAGTATACTTTTGATATATACTGAATCGATTCTAATTTATCTTTTAATTCTAATCTTTAGATTTCTTTTAAAAAAAGTTTGTAATCTATTGTTTTTCAAATATAGAATTACTTTTTCTAATATCAAAAAGATGCTTCCTAATTTCCCGAATTTGCTAATATATAGGATTAGTATCTAAAGACTTTTGGATTAATATTTAATCTGCTAATCATTTTTTTTGTATCAGGATTATCTTTTATATATATTGTATACCTTTTTTATAAAATAAATGATTATTTATATGATTTGAAGAGTAATCCTTGGAATCCTATAATCCAAAGTAGTTTATTGAATTGAATATCTATTCACTATTACATATAAAGCTAAATTAATATCAAGTTCAATATATATCTTAAATATAATGTAAATAATAATATATCAAATTTTAAATCAATTTAATTTAAACATTGTGAAGTTATTAAAGATAAATAAGAGAGATCCCTTCTTGCAATGAGCTTTTTTAAGATAGCCCAAAAGAGGAGTGGCCCGAAAGTGGGTACCGATTTACCTGTTATTCTAGCTCGATTTGATATGCATCCACGAATGATGGTCATCCACAGATATACCGGTTTCCCAAACCGATTTATTTGAACCGATTCCAGTGGTCGGGACCGAATGTCGTTGGTTGACATGTCCACGGGTCGTCAGCATGAATAATAGAATTGCCTCATTAATCCCATGAGCCACTTAAACCAGTGAATGTCTTTGAGATTGAGTGATATTCAAAATGTTAGAGCCTCCCAACAAGTGTTGGTGGTGTCCTTACATATATTGGAAACGCACGTCTGAGGCTGAGTAAAATGTGAGCAGTTTTCCCCGCACCGGAATTAGTGAGATTCTTCTGATGAGATTCCTTATTTCTTCGTCTTGTCTTCTACTTCTTATTTAATTTGTCCTCAGATCCATAAGTAGACTGATGTTCGTTTACACGCAACTATCTATTGTATCTCATTCTTCATTTGAACCAACCATCATGACAAAATCTTTCGAAGGAGCAGAACCTGCTATCTTCAGTACGAAAGAACTTTTGCCGAATCTTGTCGATGCAATTGCTGCAACGGAACCTGAAGCTATCTTTGCAGAATATCCTGTTAATCCCGTCAGTTATGAATCTGGCTATCAAAAGTTTTCATATGGATCTTTAGCAAATGCTGCTGATGGTATAGCATGGTGGCTTCAAGAAAAACTTGGACCTGGAGAAGACTTTCCTACCTTGGCTTACATTGGTCCCAATGATATTGTCGTCAATGCTTTCTTATTGGGAGCTGTCAAGACTGGGTACAGGTGTGTAATCTGATTACTCCAATGCCATATTTGAACAAGCAATTAATATCTGCTACTTATCCAGGCCCTTCTATATCACCAAGAAATAGTATTCGTGCGCAAGAAAACCAACTTACTTTTACCAAATGTAAAACTCTGGTCACAAAAAGTCCCCAATAAGCTCAGTTGCAACCCATGATAGCTGCCCTGTCTTCAATGGGTATTCAAATACTCGAATTACCCAACATTCTGGACCTAATCGAAAACCCCAGGAAAAGTTCCCATTCAAGAAAACCTTCGAAGCTGCTAAAGATGAGCCTTTCGTGGTTCTGCACACCTCTGGAACTACAGAACTACCGAAACCTATCGTGTGGACTCATGATTACATTGCTACGGCCACACAGCGGAATGAAGCTCCTACCGGCTATGTTAACCAAATGGACTTGTATGCTGGGTAAGGAAAGCGTTGATTATTGGATTCTATGTTTTCCAGCTAACTTTGGTGAAGAGTTCGTATCTTTAAACACAATTTCCAAGTTTGCATGTAAGTTATTTCAAAATCAGTGGCAATAGATTGACTCTAATCCGAACAGGCAGCCGGTGTCTTCTTCGGTTTGATCAACGGAATATCAAGACGGAGTATTTCAATATATCCAATAGCTGGTCTTCCTTCAGCGAGTCTTTTGATTGACGGTCTCAAACATAATAATGCTGATATCGCGGTTCTCGTCCCACCCTACGTTGTTGGTCTTGCCCAAAATACGGAGAGTCTAGATTTCGTAGCCACAAATCTAAAACGTATCTTTTATCTTGGAGGTGCTATTCCACCGGCCGCTGGAGATATTATCTCTTCCAAGATTGAACTCATCGGACACGTGGGAGCCACGGAGACAGGATTCTATCCTTCCTTGAAGCCAATCAACGCACGATCAAACTTTTGGGGTCACCATCAATTTGATCCCTCCGCAAATATATCCTTTGAGCATCAGGATGATGACCTTTACGAAGCTGTTTGGAATAGAAACCTTGATCCGATAAAATTACAACCTATCTTCAAAACATTTCCGAAGCTTCAGCAATGGAGATCAAAAGATCTCTACTCGCCACATCCTACGGAACCTGATCTCTGGCTCTACCGTGGTCGAGGAGATGACATCATAGTGTTCCTCACCGGAGAGAAAACAAATCCTATTTCCATGGAACATCGCCTCAATCAACACCCAGAGATTCGTCAAGCTATGGTTATTGGGGCATTGAGATTTCAAGCTGCTCTTTTGATCGAACTTGTCGATCAAAGGGCAATGACTGCGACAGAAAGGGCAGAAGTCATTGAACGTATTTGGCCTGCTACAGAAGATGCTAATTTGACATGTCCGGCACACGCCAGAATTGCAAAATCTCATATCCTTTTCACGGAGCCAGGGCGTCCAATTCTAATCTAAGCAAAAGGAACTATACAGCGAAGTCCCACATTACGAGAATATGCTTCTGAGATAGAGAAGTTATATGTGGATGCTGATAAGATGTCTGCATATAGTGCATATAGTGCAGGTGAGAATGATGAAAATGAGGAGCTTGTCGATATTTGCAATAATGAGGCAGTGCATAAGCTCTTACGTCAAGCTGTTCTCAAGGTCACTAAATGGGATGAGGAAAAAGTACAGGATGAAGATAATTTGTTCGTTCAAGGAATGGATTCTCTGCAAGCGTTGCAACTCATTCGAAATTTGAGAAGAGCTCTGAACAAGCCTGATCTCGCCATCTCTATCTTATACACCAATCCTTCCATTGCCCAATTACTCCAATCGATCATCGCTATGTCTAAGGATGAGTCGAACACAAATACAGTAAATGCATCGAATCGTCGTCATAAGATTGAGGAAACTCTCCAAAAATACGTTCAACTTGTTGACAGGATCTCTAGTAAGCATGCGTTTGGGGAAAAGTCATCCCCAGTCAATGAACACGTAGTTGTCTTGACGGGTTCAACTGGTTCTCTTGGATCATATATCTTAAGGACATTGATGCAAGATAAATCTGTGTCGCATATTTACTGTTTCGATCGAACATCCTCTGCTCATTCCCGTCATCTGGAAAAGAATAAAAAGAACAACGAATCCACAGATTTCCCAGCCTCTAAAGTCACATTTCTCAAGACAGATCTCTCAAAACCCAACTTTGATCTCGATGACGAAATATACAGACGAATTCAAAGTCCTGCAACAGATGTCATTCACAGTGCATGGCCAATAAACTCCAACCTCTCGCTCGATACATTTAAGCCACAACTCGATGGGATAATTCATCTTTTGTCTTTCGTCTCTGCAATTCCACATCATGTCTCTATTCTATTCATATCATCCATCAGTTCAATTCTAGGTCTCGAATCAACACCCATACCTGAGACAATTATCGAAGATGTATCGGCACCTCTTCCAATGGGATATGCAGAGAGCAAATTTATCTCAGAGCGCATTCTTGATTATGCTTCCAAGACAAAGCTCCCGACCGTCGATATAAAGGTTGCTCGTGTGGGCCAGATCGCTGGCCCTGCTTATTCTTCCGGCCTTTGGAACAAATCCGAGTGGATGCCAAGTCTGGTCGTCACTTCTTTTCATATGGGATTTTTACCAGAAAACCTTGGTAGCGACGAGATGAAATTAGATTGGGTACCAATCGATGTCCTCTCATCTTCACTAATTGATCTCTCATTCTACAAAGATCCTGACGTCTCCGAAAACGGTGCTAGGGTATTTCATCCTTTGAATCAGACTCCTACGACATGGAATACTCTACTCCCTATTATCTTGGATACGTTGAACTCTTTGAATCCCAAAGTCGCGATTACAACAATTCCATACACAGTGTGGCTGAAGAAATTGAAAGACACGACGAGAGAAAATGCATCTAGTACTGCGGAGTTGGAAGAGATGTTGGAAAAATACCCAGCGATTAAATTGCTGGAGTTTTTTGAGACGTTGCCGCAGACGAAATGGTCGGATAAGGATGTGGAGATGGCGATGGGAGCTAGTGTGCATTTGAAGGGGTTGAAGGGGATTGAGGGGGCGTGGATGGAAAAATGGGTTGGGGGTGGATTTAGGCTTGGAATTCGGCGATAGGCAATACCTATCTTTGATTGATGAGACTTTCATGAGGGAATGAGATTTAGTGTTTTGATGTGGCAAGCCGGGGAAACGAATATTTTATTTTGTGAATTTGTTATCTTCCAATCCTTCCAGACTAAAACAATCACGGGGTTTCTTTTATTATGTCAGAGTCATGATTAAATTTATAAATCATCAAAACCGTGAATACTTCTAAGTTGTGGTTTCTTAAATTCTATTATTACCCAAGTGAAGCCACTTAATAAACCTCACCACCCATCACCAACAGTCATACCCCTATTATTTAAACAATGCCACCGACTTTCTACTATATCCCACCGTAGTAGGCCACGCGCTATAATCCGGCGCGAACAAAATCGCATCATTACAATCACTTCCCAAACTCGTGTTATTCAACCACGCCGGTTCCCAATAATGCACACCTCTCCCCAGTCCATGCGGGACATTCCTCACCACACTAATAACATCCTCCGTCCACTCCAGCTGACCCGCAACCGTATACGGAATCGCAGGCTCGCTACTCTCAGGAATCGGATTATATTGCCCATCGCAAATCGCCGGATAATCCGTCTCAGCCACGTGAACTGGCTTGCGATAGGTTTCCGCCACCCAATGCAGTGTCGTGCGCAGATTTTCCAACGTGGCGGCGGTCCCGTAGAAAGGATAGAAGGAGAATCCAAATACGTCCCATGCGGAGAGCGCCACGCCATTCGCGGTCAAGGCATCGAACCAGCGTTGTTGGAGCGTCACGTTCCAGCCATCGTCGATGTGGATCATGATTTGGGGTTTGTGCACGCCGGCTGCGAGGGCATCGTCGACGCCTGCGCGTGCGGATTTCCAGAGCGTGGCGAAGGAGGTGAAGTTTTGGTGGAGGGCGCTGGTGGGTTGGATATCTACGTCTACGTAGCCGGTGGGCCAGAGCATGCCGTGACGGATTTCGTTTCCTAGGGCGACGATGTCGAGTTTGATGCCGGCGTTTTGGAAGGATATTAATGTATCTTTTACGTATTTTCTAAGGGTTTTTGAGAGAGGCTTTAGCTCTGTGGGCCATGCGGCTGGAGGAGGTTGTTTACTTGGATCGGCCCAGGAATCCGAAAAGTGGAAATCGAGATAGATCTTGTATCCTTGCTTTTGCATGCGTTTGGCTAGATTGAGGTTGTATGCTAAACCGTAGGTGCCATCGACGGGGTCAACCCATTGACGAAGTCGCACACTGTTCATACCGCCGTCGCCGAGGATGGCTTCGGCGGGACGGGTGGCATTGTGTTTGAGAGTGTCTTTGAAAATGGAACCGCCTTGTTCCAGCATGAGGAGAGAGGATAAATCATGTCCTTTGAAGAAATATGAGGAATCTCTAGAGGGTTTGTGAGTATTTAGTGAGGGAGGAATAAAAATTGATATTCTTACCTTGAATGATTCTCTGGTCTTGCCAATGCGATGGGCAAGACTGTGATTAAAAGACCCCAGAATTTCATGATTTCTCTTAAATGTATTGTATTCCACACGATGAAAAAACCAAGATACTTCTCAAAAAAAGAAATAAAAAAATCGACACCCCCAGCTCCATTTATACAAAACCCCAATCTCCATCCGGGCTAAACCCATCTCCCCAACGCACACAACGTGTGCAAACCATGTATCGCAACCCCACAAACACGGCACGGGGCCGACACGCTACCAGAACCCTCACCCCTGTTCTCCGCGATCCGAAATCTCGGGGACCGGATTTGATTTTCCACCATACAGAGGGATGCTGGGAGAAAAAATACGATGTGCTCATTTATCCCATTCTCCACGTTCTCCGAAATCTAGATGCGGGTGTGGGGTATATTTAATCTGCGTTTAATCTGCGTGGATTCTGCACCCCTCATTTGGGATAAAGCGGACCAATTAGGAGATGGGATGGAATTAGTGGGGATAGATTTCCGGGGAAGCGAGGGGGTCTCCGATGCAGGCGCGGAGGTGAGGGATGCTTGGGGTTTGGATTGGGGGGCGGGGGGTGGTGCCGAGGAGTTAGTATGCTGGTCACGCGGTATGGTGAAGAAATATGTATGATGGTATTATTGTTCGGAGATTTTTGGAAAGGAAGTTGGATGCTGATTTGGTTTGGTGTGGTTTGGTGTGGTGGCGGTCAGAGTAAAGTTGGCGAGGTGAGGACCGAATTTTCAGGATTGTAAATTTACTTCGTGGTGTAGTGGGTAGTAAAATAAGCGTATTCTACCCACTCTTGGTAATCTTCATCATTGATCAGAAAAATTTCTGAACAATTAGCTCAACGGTCGACGCAGGGGATTTTACCCAAGAATTTCGAGCCACTTTTTGTTTTGAATCGTAAAGCGGCGGTAGATATGGTTCTTGGGTGATGCTGGGGCGCTGAATCAGAATATGCGGATTGCGATGGAGGAAAATCCTGGAGGTTCCTACTCAGATTCATGTTAACTTTGAGTTTGGTGCTAATCAGCGTGTCTTTAGGGCAGCAATGGTATCTTGAATTTTGCAGAAGAAGAGTGCTACTACGTAGCCACAAATTCCAACCTATCCTATCCTAGATATTAGGATAGGAAGGCTCGATGGAGAGGAGTAGGGAGGCTCACAAAGTAAAATCTATGTCGGGAGTAGAAAGGAATGCTGACTAACACGTACCACCTCGCGGAAAGCTCCTAAATAAGGCAAATGCGTAATTGTTTAGAATATGGAAGTTTATGACACAGGTTGGAACGAAGTTTTCGACCGATTACTCAAAATATACTACTACTACTCACACACAACAATTTTCGAAGAAAGAAGTTTCCGAGAAATAGGACTATGGTAATATTCCAGTAATGTGAGACACTAACGTACAAACTACAATGAAGTTTAGAATCTTCAACTGTTACAGAAATACTAAATCATCTTTCTTCCTGTTTCCGAAAACACAGGCTTGATCCTGCCCTAGGAATGACAGACGACCGAAAATAAAAACTACGCGTAGTGTTCTTAGGCTGCACGGCTATCTTGGTATCGAAGTTGAGAAGAACGTGTTTTAGGAACAGCTTCAGGATATGGGAAGCATAGTATCTACCCGGGCTGGTGAGATAGTTAGCTGGGTGTCACTGATTCTTCCCATGTTGATATAAATATAGGATTGCTTACCAGGCATGTTTTCCCAAGCCCCAGAGAGGGTACGTCGAGCTTGTATCTACGAAATTCGATAGATTCTTGGTTCTATTCTCGTCAATGAAGCGGAACGCGTTGAATGTTAAGCTATCCGAGTAGTAAGTGGAATCACGCATGATGGCTTGTAATGGTATACAAGCCACGTCTCCCGGAAGCAGACAAGTTCCGTCCGAGAAAGTGAAAGGCTGAAGAACTTTCCTTCGGACTGAAATAGAGTCTGATGGGTGGTGGCGCGAGGATTCTTTCAAAAAGCTGTCGAGTAGAAGTAACGAATCAAGATTTTCTTCATTTGCCGAAAGCATCTCCGCTAGCTCGGCTCTGAGCAGTCCCACATATTCTGGATGTTCACGAAGATCTTCCAATGCATATACTATACTGAGGGCTGGCTGGTGAACGGCCGCGAACCAAATTCCCATAATTACTTGGACTATCTTTTGTGCCGACCACTCGTTCTTGGGTGAATTTGCATCGACGAAAAATTCGATGCAGTCGACTGGCTTGGGCCCTAAGTGTTTCTCATTGCTTCGAGCTTTTCTCAGACGGTGTTCCACCACGACGTTAAATGATCAACCAAAGTTTTTGATGCCTTGTGATTCCTCATCAGGACTGGAGCTACCAGCGGAGCCAAAAAGTCTGGCGTAAAGCGAAGGACCTCTGCAGTGATGATCAGATCTTCTGGATAATCCAGCACAGCACTCAAGAATTCAGAATTATTTGATAACTCTTCTCCGAAGAAGGTCAAACTATTAGCCGCAATTATAACTTTCTTTGCCATTGTGAAGCTGCGGAGTTGTGTCCAGATATTTGCACACATCTTTTCAGCGGAAAGCTCTTTATCAAATGTCTTAGAGATGATTCGCTGCAGTGGGAAGTGTAGTTTTGGGAGATGTGATCGAAGTACCCCTTTCCGTAACCCCCACTACCCGTGGGAGGTGCTTCCACCTTTTGCCCCCAGACACAAGGCTTTCGACAGGATGACGGCTACAGGGATATTTCTGAGTCTCGAGCGCACGGGCTGATATTTGGCATTACGTCACGTAGATCTAGACGTAACAGACAGAGAGCATGCAAAAAAGAAACCTGGCGGATCATTTCAATGAGATGTATTTGTATTACAGAAGTTCCCCTCAGCTGACTTCCTGTCCCCTTCCTTGCAAACCAACCCTCAGTTAGCCTTTTTCCCATCTTCTGCCTGTTTTACCTCTTCCACAAACCACTTCCCACCTCTCTCTATACCCTCAAGAATGCTCACATTTGGAGTATAACCAAGAACTCTCTTTGCTTTATCGCCGTTTAGGGTGCGAATGATCGTTGTCAGACGGACCGATTCCCTAGTAACTCTCGGCTGCCGGTTGCCGAAACTTCGTATCCAAGTAACATACTCCCCAATAACCGCCATGAGCAGTGCAAGCCATTTAGGAATGATCTTAATATCTTCGTCCTTGATGGGAAATCCAATCGCCGCAGAGATACGTCTCTGGAACTCCCAGAACAAGATTCGCTCATTGTTGATAATATTGAATGTTTGACCATCAACACGAGTTTCGAGCGGTGGTACCGGTTTTCCATAGGCGCGCAAAAGAGCTTGAGCTGCTAGAATATGTGCTTCAGCTAGGTTTCCGACATAGATGAAGTCGTATTCATTTTTGCCGGCACCGATCTGAAATTTTCCTTTTCCTTGTCGGCAGACATCGACGATCTTGCCCATACATATCGTATCTCGCTCACCGAAAGCGGTGGCAGGACGTAAAGATACAGTCAGCATTGAGGAGTCGCCATATTTTCGGTTGGCGGCAAGAATCTCGGCTTCAGCGACTGCTTTAGTAAGAGTGTAAACACGCTTTTGTGCTGGATATTGGAGGACTGGAAGATCCTCGTCAGCATCAATCAGATCGCTGATATTGTCGTGGATGACCGATGATGTAGAGGTATTAACGAATGCCTGAACCGTTCCTACTTTGAAAGCTGCGGAGATCAAGTTTTGGGCGCCGTTGACATTGACTTCTTGGAATACGGAAGGCTGAAGCACCATGGAGTCTGGACATGCAACATGAAAGATAGTACGCGGCTGTGCCTGAAGCATCACCGACTCAACACCAGGAAGACTAGTGATATCACAGGTATGATAGGTCACATTGGGGACTCGATTTCTGGTGGTATCGATGTCCAAAACGTGGATCTCGCAAGTCGGTTCGGATTCAAGAATATGATTCACCAGATGAAAGCCGATAAACCCACATCCGCCTGTGATTAGCACAGGGCTCAAAGAAGGAGTGCTGGTGGTTGTCATCGTACATTGAAGTTTCTAACCTTGATGTGGGTGTAAATGGATGGGAACAGCAGGAAGTCGAATCTATGCTTGTTGGCATCTTTCAAGGTTTTAACCTATCTATGTATTGGAAGGAGGTTGGTGTGGTGTTGGAGAGTGTTTGGTGTGGAGGCACAAGTTTTGAATACCTGCTTCACACCAACCAATGGAGGAACAGCACTCTCGTACCTCCGTAGGTAACAAATTGCAGGTTCTGGTAATGGTGGCCTGTGCCACAGACGGGCATGTTTTTTTTTGACCTGAAGAGCCCGCCATATCAGCGCAGCGTGGCGTGCCGCTCTGCTGCGGCGGGGTTGCGTGGTACCAACGATACTGGTCGGCATACGAACATACGATATTTGTCTTCTTGGTGAATCATTATTCGTTATTGCTGTTCTTGCACATGCTACTCGAAACAAGGATTAGATGAACCTAATGGGAAGATGAAACGACATGAAGAAAATTTGCCATTCAATAGGGACTTATACCAATACATGACTTCCATGGGACAAAATGTTTACGAGAAAGAGGAGTACAGCACGTATATCTTAATTAGTGTAATAATTGAATTCCAAGGATCTCTATATTCCTGGTTGGTGTATACCATACACACTTCGGTCGACATATTTGGGACGTTCCTGCATCGTGGATACTCAAGACTCGCAATACACAAGTTTGTTTCTAGTTCCTATAAAGTATAACTGAATGTACTGATCAAGAGTGCAGATGTTCTCTACAAATGGTATCACTTATCCATTCACGCTATTCTTTGCCAAACTGTCAATCTTGCCGCTATATTTGCGTATATTCAACCGTGCCTTTAAAATCATCGCTTACGCCGGAATTTGCTTCAAAGCCCTGTTCTATACAACAATTATCGGTGTTACTATCGAATCCCTCGTCAATTGCAAGCGCAATGGACTTAATGCGAGTAGACTTAGATTCTGCTTCAACTACAGTCACCCTATTGTGATTTTAACCTCAGTCGTAAACTTTTTCATAGACATTTATGTTCTTGTGCTGCCATTCCCTCTCATTTTAAGACTCTAGCTGCGCTTTAAACATTGGTTTGGCTGCCGTTTTTGCAGGTGGCATCGTGTGAGTGCTTCTTTTTACATCGTCTAATTACGCTAGTGCTCAATCTAACCGAACATCAGAGCTTGCGTGGCAAGCTTAGCACGTGTAATTGAATATTCTCTTCAATACAATAATCCGGATAACTATGGAATTAAGCAATCAATGCCGAAGTCACGTAAGCTATATCTCCACAAATACACGCTATATGTTCTTTAATAATGATACTGATTCTTTAAAGAATCGTCGAAATGAATATCGGAATTATTGTTACCCGCGTTTCCTGTTTTTCCACCTTTTTTGTGCACACCAGAAGCAAAGTATTCTCACTTTTCCAGTCGCTCCGGGGCCAGCTACATTCCACAGACTCTCGATCTTTCCCAGATGACCACAGCCGTAAGACGAATGATACAACAGCAAACCAAACCAAAACAGCGATTGAAAGTGGCGTCCACGAACTCGGAATGAAGGGTAGCCATTATATGGAATTTCAAAGCAACATATCAACACGAGACTTGATGAGAAGTAGTAATTGAACTTTGCTACACACCTTCTCTTGGGTGCTGAGCCGAGGTCATTTCTCAACTGGGATGGTTTTCATAGATTTAATGTTTCTGTGATTATACTTACATCATTGAATACCGTCGTCTATTATCTTTGAAAATCTATATCGGTAGTGCGGATACTGCTTGTAAAGTAACGTTTAGGTTAGGTCGCGAGGTCGCGGCTCCGCGTTCATAGCCTGCTCTGGACCTCGTGCAACTGTTGATATACATGTTGATTTACTTGTGGTTGTTTTTTTTGTCGTGTGATAAGAGACATGTTGTTGGACTTTTTATGGCATTATTGAGATCTTCAGGATGATCGATTGTTCTGATACATTGTTGGATATCATCTGATGCTGCTCTGGCAAATTACGCTTTTGCGTTTATGATATGTACTTCGGTTTATGGACGCTAAGCTTCATGTTGAGACGGATTGATTTTTGTCGTGGAATTGATTTGGGTATTTGGCGTTTTTCAAAGCAGATTTCTTGCTTTAGACAATGAGTTCTTTCTGTCTTTAAGAGGCCTTTGAACGATTTAAAAATTGGACATAAGTCGAAGCGAGTACTTCTTTTAGCAGTACAAGTGTGGTAATGCTTGAGCCTGTCGTCGAATGGCTCAATGATAAATTCTCGTAGACTCAGAATCAGACTTCATAACGAATTGACGATTCGAATCCTTCAACTATGGAAACAAGGTCAGATTTGATTGCTAGTGGATTGATTGCAAGTGGACGTCTATACCTGTATCAATACAAATTTTGTGACTATTGGTCGAAGCCACGCAGTTTTCAATGAGAATTCCACATGATTATACCTTCGTGTTGATCATCAATCTGGGCGTCTAGTAGTCGATGAAATAGGTCGGCTCACTAGGTCTCGAGATCATTTCGTGTATAAGTAGTGAATCGCTTCCAACTAATTGGCGAATCTCGCAACAACCATTACATCTGAGAACCATAGAAATCACAAGTATACTATCGGATTAAACTGGAGAGAGCGACAACGAGCCAAATTTTCATCTCATAGTAAACAATCTGTTTCACTAAAACACCTCAAAGTTATTACACAATGTCTCAAGATCAAGGAAAATCTGCTTCTAGAAAGAAAAAATCCACAGGGCGAGAATGGTCGGATCGCGACACAGATACCATCAAACGTTTGGTGAATGATTACCCCCATGCAGATTGGGAGACACTCCGAAAAGTATACGCGGAAGGGAAATACGAACTCTCAAGAAGTTATAGTCCATTAGTTATTCATGAAGAAGTGAAGGCTAGATGGAAGAAAATCGCCGAAAGGACGGAATTTGCCCCAGAACAATGGATGATCTTGTGTAAAGAACGAGATTCCAAAGATCAGGCCCGACGTAGCTACACTAAGATTTGGTTGGAGTTTTTTCCAAATTACACGAAGAAAACTCTTGAATTAAAGTATCGAAGTTTAAGTGATGAGGATATAAAAAAGTACCTAAAGGCATCTGCGACTAGTCAGAGGAAGATTGCTCGAACAGAACCTCCAGGGGGATATGCTTTGGATATGATTCCAGAAGATAATGCCAAATACGTCTATGCCACTTGGTTCGAAGGGAAAGAGAGGCGACTGATGAACGATGATCAGTATCTACACACATATTTCCTGAAATATGGCTTCAAGAATCTCACCATAAACGCCATAAGTCAATTCGTCAAGAGAATGAAGAAAACCGACAAATCGGTGCCTAGATCTATGCCTGCTATTCCCATCATAAAAGGTATTTGGTGGAATCACGAGAATCTCAATTATCTCAAAAATATTGTGGAAAATGAACTAAAAAGTGTTTTTCACGGAGACTGGAAGATGGTACTTGAATATCGCTTCGAAGGCTTAGGGCTAAATCATACCATGCTCTCACAGAAGTACAATGCTCTACGCTCTGGTAAAGCTGCGGTAAATATTGACGTGCGGATAAATCCTGCAAATCTGAATCTGGAGAAACAAAATAAAGTTTTTAAACGGGCCCATGGACTGAAGAAAATTGTTTGGGATGGCGCAAATGATGATTTTGCCCTAGCATACTACTCATATTGTGAGGGAAAAAGATCTCACATTGATACAGGGGTAGACGGGGAAGTGTTCCTGAAACGCCATGATTTTACAGATACTTTAATGGAGGTATACGATCGTGGCAGCGAACTTAGAAACGGGGGATCAAAGCCAAGTGGTAAAGAGATAGACCTAAGAGCTGGACCACCGGGAAAATACTTGATGGATTTAAAGGATTGGGAATTCCACGAATGGCTTTGTGACACTTCGGATCATAACCCGGGTGAAATCACTGACCTAATGAAGTATCATATGCCGCGATGTGCGAATGAACCAGCTGAAATATACGATTTACGGCGACATCTTTGGGATACGACGGGACATGAAGATATAGAATGTCCATTGAAATTCACTAGAAACCCTACTACTAAGACAAGCAAAAATACGAATAAGACACCAAGTAGTAGTACAAAGCCATCTAGTAGTCGAGAAGCATCACAACGAACCGATGCCCAAGATAATCGAGACCTATATGAAGTCACTCCACCACCTCCAAAGTCATCCCGCTCAAAGCAACCTGCAGAAGGATATGCATCAGGAGGATGGACAAGCGTAAAAAAACCAGCACCCGAGCAGCGACGTCATTCTCCATCTAGATCCAACGAGCCCGAATCACGAACTGCATCTCTTGCATTTCGACCAAGTCCTTCATCTGGTGGAGAGAGTCACAATGAGGCTTTAAGATCTTCACGTAGCAGAACAGAACCTCATCAGAGTGACCGCCGACAAGATCCCACTTCTAAGTCTCGCACTTCGGATAGCAATACTAGTAGATCAGTGGCGAAACGACCTGCTAGATCGCCTGAAAGGAAAGATGGTAGTAAGCGAACGAAAGATGGAATTGATCCACTAAGAAGGTAAAGAAAGATGGGAATTGATAGAAGCCAAGATACACTCGTCCCGAAACCGTAATACACTGCGTCATTCTCGATTCTAAATTGATGTGCCAAAAATAATATCAAACATTATCATATAAAGCGTATTGAGCTGCACTTTAGACTGTCCTCGCTATACTATTGTACACACTTTCATTGAAATATAGTGATCATACGGTACTGCGTGAAGGTCACATCTTGATTTTAAATGTAGGAAAAGTCTGGACTCCCCGTTCTGTATTTGAGAAATAACAAATTGTATTTGCTGGATGCTAATTTGGTAACTCCTTCCTATCCTACACTGAGTTCGCTCGCGTGATTCAAAACACATTGTACATTGTGTGTTTAAAGGGGTCGAAACAGAATCAAGCCAAATAAAAATCAACAATCAACATCCATCTTCACAACTCCACCATCCAACATGCGATACATGAGAACCAAGGCAAAAACCAATCTTGAGTTCAAGGGTCTTTCTGATCTGTCAAATTCAAAGATCCTCGAACTCCAGATCAAGCGCAAAGAGAGTCTCGCAAATTCTCTATGAACCACTGGGAGAAGTGCAAATAAGAGCTTGTTCCAACTGTTCGAGTAATTAGTATCCGCACCCAGACAGAAGAATAGGACAACTCACGATAGGAAGAATGCAGCACATGTCGATTTTTCCAACATCGGCGCAGACTTTATTGAAAGATACTGCATCGGTGTATGCAGCCGGTGCTGTTTGGTATTGAGTTAGTAACCTACTCCGACTGTGGGAGGGGATGCATACGAGTTTCGCAGTCTAGATCAGCTATATCAAGGACATTAGGGCTAGTTTGGATATACAAATCCGCACTGGATCCACTGAATATTCTGCTCTTTTTGAAAGTGGATTTTAAATTCATATTTGAATATCAAATTGTGGATTCTATTAAATAATCTACATTTTAATAAATTTAATATATTTCGAGATAAAAAGGAGATAGATTACTTTAAAATAATATTAAATAATCCATATTTTTTATTAAATTTATATAAGAAAACAAAAGTACGAATTGAAAACGAGAATTAGAAAAAGTAGTTTTTATTTTCAATCTAACAAATAATCCATATTTTTATAAATTTTTATAAACCTTTTATCTTATATTTATATAATATTATAATAATATTAATACTTCAAATACCTAAATTTATAGGGTATCTTTATTTTTCTTTAAATTATCTTTGATTTTGATTTAGATTACTTTATATTTCTATTCCCTATATACTAGAATATATATAGCTTAGTTTAAAAGTAGATTCTTTAATATTCTTTTTATTATAGTTTTAGATTTTATTAATAATTTAAATTGTAAATTGTTTTTTTCTTATTCACAATAAATAATAATAAGATTAATAATTCTGAACAGTTTATTTCTATCTTGATTTATAATTTAGCTGTTATTATTAGCTCTTTTTATTATACTCCAATTTCGAAAAAAAGAACTAATATTTTTGGTGAATTTAAAATACAATCTCTTCTTGATTCTAAACACCCTCAATATTATTAAAAACAATTGTATATACCTTTATGCACTTTTCGACTTTTAATCGAATTTTATTATAAAAAAACAAAGCTACAACACTTTCAATATACTTTAATTGATCAAAAACTATATGTATTTCTTTATATTATAGGCCAGTATAGAACTATATATAGTATAGCTGAAGCCTTTTCTTATTCTGAAGAAACAATCTATAGGTACAAAAAATACCTTATATAAATCTACTTATTGGTTTATTCTAATATACTTTAAAATGATTTTATCAAGTTTTAGATACTATAATAATATTATATCTATTAGTAATAAAGCTACCGGATCTAACTATACAATTCACTCTTTCTTGAATAATAGAAGATAAAAAATATCATATATATTTTGCAAATTGCCTAGAAGCTCTCGATAACACCTTTATTCCAGCAATAGTACTTTTCGAAGATTGATCTGCTTATTTTAATCAAAAAGGGTATATTGTATAGAATGTTCTTGTAATAGTTACTTTCAATTTACAATTCTGCTATATATTAATTGGTTGGAAAAATTCTGTAAATAATCAAAAGGTACTTTCAAATACTTTGATTTCAAAAGGTTTACGAATTTCAGAAGGTTATTATTATCTAGGTAATACAGGATATATAAATATTGGGCAGGTTCTTATTTTATTCAAAAAGGTAAGATATTATCTATAAGAGCAATTGGAATCCAATAAGATATCCAAAATATTAGAAAAGCTTTTCAACCTTTAATACTTTTCTTTATGAAATAAGATTAAGAGAATTTTTGGAATACTCAAAATGCACTTTTCATTTCTAATACAACAACAAAAATACCTATATATAATTCAAATACATATAGTTTATACTTTATACACTCTACATAACTTTATTTGATAAAATAACTTCGAAGAAGATTTATTCGAAGTTCAATTTGATTGTATTATCGATTATATTCCAAACACTATAGATAATATAATAATGAATTCAAGTAGTAACGAATTAGACTCTATTTCGTTACAATCTATAAACTACTTTTGATAAGGAATTGCAGAGGCTATATAGAGAGATTATTGTAAGGTGAAAAGAGTTTGAAAAGCGTGAGAAAAAGAAAAGCAATATTATATTAAAATAGAATTTGATAAGTATCGTACAGGACAATAGCATATCACGATGGAGGGGAATGATTGGACAATAATGGTATAAGTATAAGAATGTGTATATCTCCTCATCTACAGTTAGAACTGATCTCTTCTCGTAGAGAAGAGATCGGATTATATATTGGGTGATCTTTAGGTATCGATCACAAAAGCGGTGATCGGTCCTGCGGCCGATCCGGTTATCGTTATTCCGCTTTGGAGTATTCTATATAATAAATACCTGACCATCACATGATCTAATCCACATGGTCTACAACACCGTTTCCGTCACACACCCCCCAGATCGCAATGATCTGTATAAACAAACAAAGGAAATTAGTGCAGTTGTGCCTTGTTGGAGCCTCAATATGGTCTAGATCATACAATGAAACCATCTTATCCCTACCATGGCAGGGCTTTGATATCCATTCTCTATATGATTGGTATGAGAGTGTGATACAAAGGAAATTTTGATGCGCCCCTAGCTGTCGGTAAGTTGTTTGATTTAGGTATTATGGGGTGATATCTCTTATTTTCCATTATATTGCCTGAAAATTTTCAAAGGATTGTGGGTAGATGCTTTCTTGAAGCCTCACTTCGTTATGTATGCCTGCTGATCTGCTGTTACAAACAGAGAATACAGGTTCTGATCCTTGTATCCGCGGATGTATGCTGCAATGTCAGCATTGTTATCCGGATAGGGTAATTGAATTGATGATTATAACAATAGTGGCATTAGGTTGCCAGAGACATTCAGGAGGTCCAGGCGATCTCTGATCAAGTGATCTTGCCCACGTGCAGGGCAGATGTGATCTATAATACACACCCTTTCCTTCGAACTCTTCTTTCTCTAGATATCAACACTATTATGTTTTGTTTCCTTTCGAATAGATCACCCGTCTCCTGACAAACATGGTCCTGATCAGCCCAAAAACCCTGAAAAGACAAAACACCATGGTCGGCCAAGAAAGTATCCCTCTACTGTTTCTTCTTCTCCTTTTATTTATAATAAATTCTCTTTTGAATCTGTATTTGAACATGATTCACTTCCACCCCCAAGGTTCCCTACTCCGGTAGCAACTGATCCTCCAGCAACACCATTAACTGCTCGTCCGAGTAGTCTTGCTACCGTTAATCCTGTCCCTGCTCCTGTGAGCCCTACTGCTGATCGACCGTTAACTCAGCAGCCATTTCTTCCCGAAAACCTTCCTGGAAATCCCTTGATTGGTTTTCCTCAACTGCTCCCTTCTGCTCTACCATCGAATGATAGCCTTGCCGATTTCAATTATACTGCCTTCCTTGCTTGGATGTATCAAGCCCATCAATACTCTTCACTAGGAAGTACTATTAACCCCGTATTTCCTTTTGCCCCTATTGTTATTACTCCCCCTATTCCTGTTCCTGTTGCTACACAACAAGGATCTCTACCTGTAGCCCCACTAGAAGTAGATATTGTCATTACCCCTGGGTTGACCACATGCTAATTCGAAACTAGATATGATCCGCTCGAAAGCATGCCTTGTATAATACTACCCCAAGAGTTTGTCGTAACAATCCTGAATTATATTCCTTCTATAACTTGAAAGAAATAATTGTTCCTGATTCTCAAAAGGTTATTGCAATTCCTGTAGGATTAAGGAAAGATTACCAACTGGTTAAGATTAAGTGTGAGGATCCAGATAACTTTGAAATCCCCAATCCTCTCAATAGCCGATCTGGATTGATCACCGCCGCACCTGCTAAACACCGTCCTTCTCACGATCCGGATAGCTACTTTCGCGCTCCCTCTCCCTCACATAACAATCCCGATGAGCATGGGTTCTACAATCTCCGTACTTCCGATAGTAATCCCAATAATAACTTACCTCTTGCAGATCTTCAATACATAAAAACTGAAAGTGATTCGCCAAAAGCGTCTGCCAAAGCTCGGTCCTCACAACCTAACGAGTTCACCAAAAGGCCAGTAAACAATCGTCTGTATCTTGACTACATAAAGTCCTTGGTCTCTAGGCAAACAAAGATCTCAAGTAATTACCATAAGAATCTCGGCTGCACCAAGAGCATTCGTTATTGGAATTGCAAAACACACGTGTATGAGATCGCTTTAGATACTATAATCTCTATAGAAAAACTTTGTGCCAATGCTTACAAGGCATAGGATAAAAAGGTATGTACTTACTTCCACCCCCGATCGATCATAATATTGATAGTTAAGCTAGAGATTGGAAAAGCTTTGTGGAATTCTTCGAAAGCTCCTAGTAGAGTCTGAGACTCGCAAGTCTGCTAATCGTAAAGCCACCACAATCGATCTCACAAGAAAGGACTTTTCCACCAAAAAGTATATTCCTAAGGATTCGGTTTCGAAAACTTCTGTGAACAAAGATAAATCGCTAGCCCTTGTTCGACATTTTGAGAACGAGACTTGTAAAGCGAAGAGGCTTGCTGAGGATAAGCAGTGCGAACTCGATCTACTCTTGAAAAAGGAAAAGGCTAGGAAGCATGCCGGGTCAACTAAAAGAGTTTAATCTTTGGCTAAAGGAAGAAATGAATATATTTTTAGCTGGCCTCTTAATTTAACTCTTTAATCCACACACTGATATCCTGTAGATTGAGCATTGATCGAAAGCACTCGAACTTCTGTCGAGACAGATTCTTGGTTAATCCGTTTGTTATCATATCGGTAATGGGTAAGTAGGTAACATTGAAACTTCTTTTGGCGTATTCTTGATATAATCATATATTCTGTATATCAACATACCTGAGTTTAATAGTGATCCGTTTATTCTCCCCAACTACTAGGCGTATTGATTATACGTTATTACAGAAAATGATTACTGGTTTTTGAACCATAAGATCGATCTTTTTCAAAAGACATAGAGTAGCCATTGTTTCTTTTGCTATTCGTTCCACACCTAACAATTCTGCTTCGGTTGTAAAAGTAATCACAATAAATTAACATAATGCTTTCCAAAAAACTGATCCCCCAAAGAGTGACATAATATACCCTTGAAATGATCTTTTGGTTTCCTTATCATCTACAAACGATACATCTGAGAATACTAGAAGTTGAGGGATTGGCTAGGAACTGTATTCTATGGATAAAAAGCGAGTATTCCATAAATATATAATACAATGATCAACAGCTTTTATATGATCAGGAAATGGATTGATAAGGAAATGACTTAACTGAGAGGCTGCAAATATAATATCAAGGTGGATTGTGATTACTATA